ACTCTGGGCCTGGGCACTGTCCCTCAGCTCTTCAGCTCAAGGCTACCACTCTACCACTTGAGCTACAGTGCCACTTCCGGCTTTTTTTCTTTTTTTGTTTATGTGGTGCTGAGGAATTGAGCCCAGAGCCTCAAGCATGCAAGGCAAGCGCTCTACCACTGAGCCACCTTCCTAGCCCCTGAGGTACTATTTATAATGTTGCTCTAAATAGTCATGTCAAGCCAGGTGCCGGTGGCTCATGCCTATAATCCTAGCCACTCAAGAGGCTGAGATCTGAAGATCGTGGTCCAAAACCAGCCTGATCAGGAAAGTCCCCTGAGGCTCTTATTTCCAATTAACCACTCAAAAACCAGAAGTGGTCCTGTGGCTCAAAGTGGTAGAGTGCTAGCCTTGAGCAAAAGAGCTCAGGAACAGTGCCCAGGCCTTGAATTCAAGCCCCATGACTGACCAAAAACAAAAAAAATTGTGGAGGAGCAGAGGGAGGATGGGAAGGGGAAACAAAGGAGAAGGCTACAATGCTTGATAAGAAATGTACTCATTATCTTGCCCATGTAATTGTAACCCCTCTGTACAGTATTTTCACAATAAAAAAAAAAATTTCCAGGCACCCATGACTCAGCTTGTAATCCTAGCTAGTCAGGAGGCTGAGATCTTTGGATCACGGTTCAAAGCCAGCCTGGTCAGGAAACTCCATGAGACTCCTATCTCCGATAAAGCACTAGAAAACCAGAAGTGGCGCTGTGGCTCAAGTGGTAGAGCGCTCTCCTTGAGCTGAAGAGCACAGGGACAGCGCCCAAGCCTAAAGTTCAAGCCCCACAACTGACAAAAAAAAAAAAAATTAAAAAATAGTCATGTCCAGCTTTGCATATTTAGGTCTATGTGTCCCTAATAGTAATAAGTAGAGCTTGATGTTCCTAACATAAAGCTGCCAAGCATAATTATTATCCTAAAATTCTGCATGTAATAAAAATTACTAGACTGTTCTTCCAATTATTAAATTAGTTTTCTTTTCTCTTCTTTTCTCTTTTCATTTATTTGGTGCTGGTGCTGGGGCTCAAACTCAAGGCTGAGCTCAGTTCCTTAGCTTTTTGGTTTTTTTTTTTTTGGTGTGGGGGGGGGGGGTCCAGTCGTGGGCTTGAACTCTGAACTCTGGGCCTGGGCGCTGTCCCTCAGCTCTTCAGCTCAAGGCTAGCGCTCTACCTCTTGAGCCACAGCACCACTTCCAGCTTTTTTCTTTTTGCTTATGTGGTGCTGAGGAATCGAACCCAGGGCCTCAGACATGCAAGGCAAGTGTTCTACCACTGAGCCACCTTCCCAGCCCCAGTCCCTTAGCTTTTTTGCTCTAGGTTGGCCCTCTCCTGGCTTTTTGGTGGTTAATTGGAGATAAGAGTCATGGACTGGGAATGTGGCCTAGTGGTAGAGTGTTTGCCTAGCATGCATGAAGCCCTGGGTTCGATTCCTCAGTACCACATAAACAAAAAAAGCCAGAAGTGGTTCTGTGGCTCAAGTGGTATAGTGCTAGCCTTGAGCAAAAGAAATTCAGGGACAGTGCCCTGACCCTGAGTTCAAGCTCAGGAATGGCCAAAACAAACAAACAAACAAAAAACAACAATCACTAAGCAAGGTGCTGGTGGCTCATGCCTGTAATTCTAGCTACCTATGAGCCTGAGATCTGAGGATTATGGTTCAAAGCCACCGCAGGCAGTAAGTCTGTGACATTCTCCAATCTCCAATTAACCACACAAAAAAAGCTGGAAATAGAGCTATGGCTTAAGTGGTAGAGCACTAGCCTTGAGCAAAATCACTCAGTGACAGCTCCAAAGCCTTGAGTACAAGCCCCAGGCCTGGCACACAGGACTACACACAAAAAGAGTCTCAAAGACTTTCCTGTCTGGTCTGGCTTTGAATCTCCATCCTTAGATCTCAGCCTCCTGAGTATCTAGGACATGATTAATATTAGCTCTAGGTGCTGGTGGCTCATGCCTGTAAACACCTATCTACTCAGAAGGCCAAGATATGAGGATTGTAGTGTGAAGCCTGCCTAGACGTGAAAGTCTGTGAGTCTTATCAGCAACAGTGCTGTGGTCCTGAGTTCAAGCTGGAGGACTGTCAAAACAAACAAACAAACAAACAAAAAAACAGTCGGGCATGGGTGGCTCACACCTGTTATCCTAGCTACTCAAGAGTTGAGATCTGGGGATCGCAGTTCAAAGCCAGCCCAGGCAGGAATGTCCATGAGACTTTTTTTTTTTTGGTCAGTCATGGGGCTTGAACTCTGGGCCTGGGCACTGTCCCTCAGCTCTTCAGCTCAAGGCAAACACTCTACCACTTGAGCTACAGCACCACTTCCAGTTTTCTGGTGGTTTATTGGAGATAGGAGTCTCACGGTCTTTCCTGCCCGGGCTGGCTTTGAACCGTGATCCTCAGATCTCAGCCTCCTAAGTAGCTAGGATTACAGGCATGAGCCACCAGCACCCGGCTCATGAGACTCTTATCTCCAATAAACCACCGGAAAACTGGAAGTGGCACTGTGGCTCAAGTGGTAGAAGGTTACTCTTGAGCTGAAGAGCTCAGGGACAGCGCTCAGGTCAAGAGTTCAAGCCCCATGACGGACAAAAAAAAGAAAAAGAAAAAAGAAAAGAACTTATTAGGAATTGCGTGAAGGTAACTTGCACCTGTAATTCTTGTTATTTGGGGGCTGGGTCTCAGGAGTATTGTTTAAGGCCAGACCAAGCAGAAAAAAAGCACTTGTAGCAAACATCTCACAGTTTGTGTTCATGAGACGTGCTATGCCTAAGATGTGTCTTTTGCTTGGATCTTACAAGCAGAAATCGAGAAAAGTATCAGCAAGGGAAACAGAGCTTCTCAAAAAATGATTAAATTTATTTATTTATTTATTTTTAACACAAGAGCTTGAACTCAAGAGCCTCATGCTCTTGTTCAGTTTTCTTTTCTATGCTTTTCCTTTCCTTTTCTTTCTTTTCTTTTTTTCTTTGTAGGTCATCAGCATGAACTTAGGGCCCGGGCACTGTCCTTGAGCTCTAATTTATTCATTTATTTATTGTCAGTCATGGGGCTTGAACTCTGGGCCTGGGCTGTCCCTCAGCTCTTCAGCTCAAGGGAAGCACTATACCACTTGAGCCACAGCACCACTTCTGTTTTTTTGGTGGTTAATTGTAGATAAGAGTGTCAGGGCCTTTCCTGCCCAGACTGACTTTGAACTATGATCATTAGATCCCAGCCTCCTGAGTACCTAAGTTTATAGGAGTGAGCCACTTGCCCAGCAGTTCATTTATTCATTCATTTATTTTGGCTAGTCCTGGGGCTTGAACTCAGGTCCTGGATACTGTCCCTGAGCTTTTCTTGCTCAAGGCTAGCACTCTACCACTTGAGCCACAGCACCACTTCTGGATTTTTCTATGCATGTGATACTGAGGAATCGAACCCAGGGCTTCGTGTAGACAAGGCAAGCACTCTACCACTAAGCCACATTCCCAGCCACCCTCGCGCTCTTTTTACTCAAGGCTGCTGCTCTACCACTTTGAATCACAGCTCCACTTCTGGATTTCTGGTGGTTAATTGGAGATAAGCGTCTCAAACACCTTCCTACTTGGGCTGGCTTCAAATCATGAGCCTCAGATCTCAGCATCCTGAGTAGCTAGGATTATAGGCATGAGCCACTAGCACCTCGCTGTCCTGGAGCTTTTTGCTTTACCACTTGATCTGACTTTTTGCTGGTTAATTGTAGGTAAGAGTCTCTGAGATTTTTTTTGCCTGGATTGGTTTTGAACTATGGGCCTCAAGTCTCAGTCTTTTGAATATATCTAGGATTAGAGGTAGAAGCCACTGGCACCCAGCAGTAGATTGAAATACTTCTTTATTTTTTTTTCTTTTTTATTGGTTGTGGGGCTTGAACTCTGCGCCTGGGCGCTGTCCCTCAGCTCTTCAGCTCAAGGCTAGTGCTCTACCACTTGAGCTACAGCATCACTTCTGGTTTTCCAAGGGGCTTTTTGGAGAGAAGAGTCTCATGGACTTTCCTACCAGGACTGGCTTTGAACTGCAATCCTCACATCTCAGCCTCCTGAGTAGCTAGGATTACAGCCGTGAGCCACCAGTGCCCAGCTGGATTGAAATTCTTTATGAATTAAAAAAAATCTATGTATTTATTTATTGAAAAGCAAGTAAGTATAGACAGAATGAGGACATGTATAGGGACAAATACAGAGTCAGGGATAAGGAGTCACACAGGAGAGGAAAACAGAGCTGAGGGCACAGGAGGACAGAATAAGAAACATCTGTGGAGAGATGAAGTTTCTGGCAAAGAGACAAGGACAGGGTGGAAAGGAGCATTAAAAAAAATCTTCCTCTAAATATCATTCTGTTTTTTGTTGTTGTTGTTGTTGTTTTGTTTTGTGGTACTGGGGTTTGAACTCAGGGGCTTTTTACTTGCTAGGCAAGCATTCTATTGCTTCAACCAAGCCCCAGCCCTAAATGTCATTCTTGTTAAACCATCGCTGTTGATTTGAGGCTGCAGTTGCTAATAACAGCTTTATTGTGGTCAAGGAGCTGAGTCTCCTTGTCATGGTGTATGGTGAGCCATCCATGGTCACGACATCTGGATTAAAATCGTCTCTTTGTAAAGGGCCAGGCTCATAATACAAGATCTGTAATCGATTGTCCAAGGCACAAAGCTCATCTCCTCCCTGAGGAGCAAGCATTGAGGCCCAGACCTCTATTTCACTGCGCTGAGTTAATTTTCTCTCACTGTCTGGTAAGCCAACAGCAAGGTCCACTGCCCTAGCAACTGCCCTCCGACTACTACCATGGCAACCGCCAGTGCAGGCACCAGCTTTCCACCTTGCCCCTTGGGCATCTCCATGGTGATGTGCGGGATGAAGGGGCTGCCAGATCCCGGAGGCTGCGCCTGCGTAGAGTGGCAGGAGGGGGTGGACAGGAGGGGACCTGGCTTCTGGGCGTGCGCAGCCGCAGAGCTCCACAGCTGTACCCGCTAGCTCCAGCGCTGCGCACTTGTCAGCCAGTCCGCCCGTCCGGAGCCCGGCTCGTTGGGGCAGCATGGCGGGGTCGCCGCTGCTCCGCGGGCCGCGGGCCGGGGGCGTCGGCCTTTTGGTGCTGCTGCTGCTAGGCCTCCTTCGGCTTCCACCTGTGCTCGGCGCGAGGCCGGTAAAGGTGCGACCCCAATCCGGTGCCGGGTGGGGGTGGGGAAGGGAACAGGGAGAAGGATGCGGCGGGTGAGAGAATCGGTGTCGCATCCTCTCTGGGTCCGCTCCAGGCATGCGCAGAGAGACAGACAAGGGCTACCGGGGCTTCAGCTGAAAAGTCCCTGCACAATCCAGGCCGACTCATCTCACATCCGAGACTAGACTAGGTTTCCGTGTGTTCGAGTGGTGCTGGCCTGGGCTGGGTCAGGAGCCACGCCCTGCCAGTCTCTGCGCATTGGCAGGCCTGGCTTTGCTTTGCTCCAGGCCTGTAGCGCTGTCTGCAGCACTAAGACGCATTCAGATAGTCTGTGCGCATATCCTTGTGTGCATGTGATGTGATGACAGCGGTGTAGGTGTATTGTGTGTTATGTGTGTGTCCTTTAGCAGGAACATGGCTCAGCTTCCTACAAAGGTGACATTGTGTGTCTGGATGTGTAAGACATGTGATTGCTGATGATGCTTCTATGGATGACTTTTATGACCCTACTTGCTTTCTCAGTGACACTGTGTGTGTATTAGTGAATCTTTGTGTGATGACGTGGTTTATGGGCGTGTCTTCCTGTGTGCTTGTGTGTGCCTCTGTGAGTTCATTTTCACTTGGGAAGGAGTAGTCCTTCATCTCCCTATGTGCATGCATTCCATGTTGGTGATGGTTGGACAGGGTGGGAGGGATTTTGTAGGTGCACTCATGAGGCTGCTTCTCTTTGCTTCTTTGTGGAGCTGTGTCATTGTGAGAAAAGGAGCCATGATGTCTCCAATCTGCATTGTGTTTGTTGGGGTGGTGTGTGTCCTGGCACATGGGTGGCTTGGAGGGTGTAACTGCATAACCATTACAATCACAGGAGACCACAGGACCACTCCTTCTGAAATAAAAATGATGGGAATGTGTATGTTTCTTTGTATGGAGATGTGGTAGTGTTGGGTTGCATAGATGACATCGCATGGGCTGAGAAGAGACAGAGACAGACACAGAGAGAAAGATTGCTGATGAATAAATTCCCAGCCAAAGCTGATGGGTACCAACCAAGGATAATTGGAGCAGCTTCTTCCTCTAGCTCTTCAGGACTGAATCAAAGATTTTTTTAAAAAATATTTTTATATATAACACTATTATATATTTATACGGACAATGTAAAATATGATAAAATAACTTGTTAAGTAGCTATCATTCAGTTTAAGAAATAAACCATGAGCCAGTGGCTCATCCCAGTAATCCTAGCTATTCAGGATCTGAGGATCTTGGTTCAAAGCCAGCCCAGGCAGGAAAGTTCTAGAGACTCTTATCTCCAATTAATGACTGAAAAGCCAGAAGTAGAGGTGTGGTTCATGTGGCAGAATATCAGCCTTGAGTGAATAAGCTATGGGACAGTGCTCAGGCCCTGAGTTCAAGCTCCAGTTCCAACATCAAAAAATAAAATAATTAAAATGAAGAAAGGAGCCGGGCGCTGGTGGCTCACGCCTATAATCCTAGCTACTCAGGAGGCTGAGATCTGAGGATCACGGTTCAAAGCTAGCCCGGGCAGGACACTCTGTGAGACTCTTATCTCCAATAAAACCCCTAGAAAACCAGAAGTGGTGCTGTGGCTCAAGCGGTAGAGTGCTCGCCTTGAGCTGAAGAACACATGGACAGCGCCCAAGCAAGAGTTCAAGCCCCATGACTGACGAAAAAAAGAAAGAAAGAGAGAGAGAGAGAGAGAGAGAGAGAGAGAGAGAGAGAGAGAGAAAGAAAGAAAAGAAAGGGGTGAGGTTGTCAAAGAGAAGTGCACACATTACCTGAATTGTGAAATGGTAACCCTTGTGTACAATACCTTAATAATAACAATAAAATAATATTTTTACATAACTAGAAGAAAGGTAATAATGGAAGCCAGCATATATCCTTTCTTGGTATCCTTCCCTCATAATCACTGCCCTGTAATTTTTGTCCATTCTTTATTTTTGTTTGCAGCTTATCTCAAAACCACCTATTGTTTAGTTTCTCCTGCTTTTTACATCAAAGAAACAGAATCAAACTGGGCATTTGCCATCTGGCAGTCACTAGGGATCACTAGGAAGTGTGTGTCTCATTGTCTCAGGCAGTCTGCAGTGAGATTCTGGAACTTGCTAATGGGAGGGGGAGAGAGGTTGGGGGTTGTTTCAGCTCAAACTCAGAGTTTAGCACCTGTGAGGCAAGCACTCTACCACTGAGTACACTCCTAGCCCACATTTGCCATTTTTGGTGCAGTTTGATGGTGAGATTCATGTATATCTAAGTGTGTGGCTGTAATTAATTTTATGGCTGGATAGTATTATGCCCTATGAGTAAGTATTTCATGACTCTGTGTCATGGTTTATATATGGATTTGCAATACGTCAGTGGATATTGGGTTATTTCCAGACCTTTCTTTCATTTCTTCCCCCCCCCCTTTAGGCAATTACAAGTGCTGTTGTCATCTTTCATGATCCCCAGGAGTGGGTTATAGAATATATGGCTCTTTTGGGACATTACTAACTTACTGTTCAAAATTATTTTGCTAATTTAATTCCCACTGGCAAAATATGAGAATTTTCATTTCAAAGAAATGGAATCTGGGGCTGGGAAGGTGGCTCAGTGGTAGAGTGCTTGCCTAGCATGCACGAGGCCCTGGGTTCGATTCCTTAGCACCACATAAACAGAAAAAGCTGGAAGTGGTGCTGTGGCTCAAGTGGTAGAGCGCTAGCCTTGAGCTGAAGAGCTGAGGGACAGTGCCCAGGCCCAGAGTTCAAGGCCTGCCCCCCCACTGACCAAAACAAATGGAACTTCCAACCCAATTGCCTGTGGCTCATGCCTGCATTCTAGCTACTCAGGAAGCTGAGATCTGAGTTAAAAGTGGCCCTGCAGGAAAGCCCGTGAGACTCTTATCCCCAATTAACCACCAAAAAGCCACCAAAAAAGTGGAGCTGTGGCTGAAAACTGGTAGAGAGGTATCCTTGAGAGCAAATAAAGCCCTAAGGCTTTATTAGAATCAAACTGGGCAGTAGAACCAGGACAATTTCTGAGAGTTCCTACAATATCACTGGGGATGCATGCCTGGATGGGTCAGGGTGAGGGTCTTTGGTGGTCTTAAGTGTGTCTACAGATATTTAATACCTTAGAGGTATTAGTGTATTTAGGTGGGGCACGTGATGGATCTACCCCACCCCCATCTCTACTTGGAGGTTCCTGCACCACTGACTGGCACCCTCTCCCTTCTCCCCTCTCCCATCTTCTCACAGGAGCCCCGCAGCCTGGGCGCAGCGTCACCACCAATGACTGAGGCTGGCGCTCCCCGCCGCTTCCGTCGGGCAGTGCCCAGAGGAGAGGCAGCGGGTGCGGTGCAGGAGCTAGCGCGGGCGCTGGCGCATCTGCTGGAGGCTGAGAGACAGGAGCGGGCGCGGGCCGAGGCGCAGGAGGCGGAGGATCAGCAGGCACGCGTCTTGGCGCAGCTGTTGCGCGTCTGGGGCTCCCCGCGCGCTCCCGATGCGCCCTTGGCCTTGGATGACGATCCGGATGCTCCCGCCGCGCAACTGGCGCGTGCCCTGCTTCGCGCCCGCCTTGACCCCGCCGCCCTAGCAGCCCAGTTGGTTCCCGCGCCTGCCCCCGCCGCTGCCCTGCGACCCAGACCCCCCGTATACGACGATGGCCCCACAGGTCCAGATATCGAGGATGCCGGGGACGAGACACCCGACGTGGACCCGGAGCTACTGAGGTGCTGGACCACGGGTCGGGGATTGGGCCCTAGAAAGGGAGTGAGACTTTGGATCGATCGATCCAGGCGGAGGAGGCAAATTTGCCGGGCTGGAGGGCAGTTCAGGATGTGGATTTCCAGCCCTGCTGCACTGCTTCCCGCAGGGGACATCAGTTTCTGGGATGGGGACGTCTGAGTATCTAATTAATAGAAGGGTCAGGAGACCAGAGTGAGTTTATGGGGTCCTGCGCTCCATTCGGGGTCATATTTCCCCTCTCTGTCCCGCAGGTACTTGTTGGGGAGGATCCTTACTGGAAGCGGGGAGCCGGAGGCTGCTGCTGCCCCGCGTCGCCTCCGTCGTGCGGCCGAACAGGATCTTGGTCCAGAGGTGCCCCCTGAGGGCGTACTGGGCGCCCTGCTGCGTGTGAAACGCCTGGAAAACTCCCAGCCCCAGGCGCCTGCGCGACGCCTCCTGCCGCCCTGAGCACCACCTGCGGGAGGCGCCCTGGAACCCCGCCCTCCTCACTCCTCAAGCGTTCCCGGCTGCACGTCGTCATCCACCAGCTTACATACACCACCCCAAGATTCCCTCCCTGCCTCTCAATAAACAATCTGAAGCAGCTATTTGTCTCAGTGGCAGTGGCTAGGGTGGCTAGGGGCTGAGTGGGTGGCAATGGTATTTTTTTTTTTTTTGCCGGTCCTGAGGCTTGAACTCAGGGCCTGTGCACTGTCCCTGGGCTTCTTTTGCTGAGCCACACCTCCACTTCCGGCTTCTGAGTTTATTGAGAGTCTGACGGACTTTTTTTTTTTTTGGGTCCGGTCGTGGGGCCTGAACTCTGGGCCTGGGCGCTGTCCCTCAGCTCTTCAGCTCAAGGCTAGCGCTCTACCACTTGAGCCACAGCGCCACTTCCGGCTTTTTTCTTATGTGGTGCTGAGGAATCAAACCCAGGGCCTTGAGCATGCAAGGCAAGTGCTCTACCACTGAGCCACCTTCCCAGCCCCCAGACGGACTTTTTTGCCTTGGCTTGCTTCACATCCTACCCTAGATGGCTTCAAACCATAATCCTCAGATCACAGCCTCCTAAGTAGCTAGGATTACAGGACTGAGCCACAGGTGAGCTACTATAGAGGCAGCCACTCAGGAAATGACAGTGACAACTGTAGTCCCCGTCCTGATCCTGGACTGCTCTGCTAGGCTTCACTGGGGTGTGGGGATCCGAGATCATGGTCAGCCCATCCTTCTGAGGGCCAAGCTCTTATGGACTCAGCTCCTGGTTATGGGGGGATTTTTGCCCAGATGTCACCTACTCTATAATTCTCTTCACACCTCCCTATCATCAGTCTTCCATAACCCACCCACCTAATGATCCTACATTTTTTTTTTGTTAGTCGTGGGGCTTGAACTCAGCCTGGGCACTGTCCCTCAGCTCTTCAGCTCAAGGCTAGTGCTCTACCACTTGAGCCACAGTGCCACTTCCAGTTTTCTGAGTGGTTTATTGGAGATATAAGTCTCATGACCTTTCCTGCCCTGACAGGCTTTGAACTGCGATCCTCAGATCTCAGCCTCCTGAGTAGCTAGGATTACGGGCATAAACCACCACGACCAGCTCATGCATGAGATTTTTAAAGTCTGGTCTCTGCATCCTTTGTACCCCCAGCAAAGCTGGAAAATTTGTCTTTTTGTGCTGGTACTGGGGTTTGAACTCAAGACCTAGGTATTGTTTCTTAGCTTTTTCTCAAGGCTGGTGTTCTACCACTTGGGCTGAGCCACACCTCCCCCTTTCAGCTTTTTCATGATTAATTGGAAATGAGACATAAGGACTTTCTTGCCCTGGCTGGCTTCGAAAGGGATCCTCAGATCTCAGCCTCCTTTGTTAGTTAGGATTCCTGTCATTAGTAATTGGCTCCAAATTTCTTGAAAGATTTCTCATAAATCATGTAACTCTACTCATCTCACTCCTACCCATGAAACACATGACAAGAAGGCAGCTTTAAAACCTGAGGACATTTAATTTTGCACAGAACCTCTTAAAGTGATACAATCAATACTAGACACACCCATGTATCAAAAGCCCTTCACCAAATGAAGATGTCCATAAGCCCCTATTACCCCAACAGTGTCTATGAGATTTTTGGTTCTGTGTGTGGGAGTCTCATGTCAAGGGAATCTGCAACTTGGCTGGGGAGAGAGACGTCTTTTCTTAACGAAGACCTTCAGGCCACTGTGCAGCCACAGCTACACATTGCTTTTTGGTGCCGGACATTCTTAGCTGCTCTTGCCTTGGCCTCCTGGGTTCTCTGGATCTCATGGATGAGCAGAGAAAAGGCTTCTTCCACACCTTTCTGAGTCTTGGCTGAGGTCTCCACAAAGGGAGCCCCCCAGCTTTTTGCCAGGGCTGCAGCTGCAGCATGAGCATCTCCAGAGGTAGACACCAGATCACATTTGTTGCCCACCAAGACAAGTGGCTGGTTGATCTGAGGGCCCCAAGTGGCCCGCATCTGCTGCAGCTGGTCAAGAGATGAGAGGTCATCTAGAGCAAAGACAACCAGCACCCCATCACCAACTGCCAGGCACTGGTCACGCAAGGACCTGTGAATATCTTGCCCTGATGTGTCCATCACATTTAGAATGTAGCCTCCATCATCTTGGGCTACTTCCTTCCAGTAGGAATCCTGGATGGTGGGATCATGGTCTTTCACGAAACACTTGTGGATCATTTGGATGGTCAGGGCACTCTTGCCCACACCGCTTGCACCCACTACCACTGCCTTGTATTCAGGCAGTCGTTTGTCAGCATTTTTGGACTGTGCCCAAGTCTCATGACTCTCCACTGGGGTGCAAGAGCCCAGGTCCAAGACACTAGGCTTAGCTGGCAGCGGCATGTCCCAAGCAGGCAGGCAGCTAAAGGAAGAGATGTAAACAGCAGGCTCAGCAAGTGAGAAAAAAACAGGGGCTAAGTGAGGGGAGACCATCTAGGAGCAGGGGTGGAGGCAGGGGGAACCCCTGGGTATCACTGAATCAACATTTGTTAAGTGCCTATTGTGTGCTGATCTCTTAACAATATGCTCGTGTTATTTATGTGACTCCACCTACTTTTCTTCCTTCTAGAGATAAACTTGTTGAAGGCAGGGGTTTTGTTCTCCCCCATCCCCCCCCCCAACTCTTGTTTTTCCTCCAGGTTGGGGGAAGCAAACCCAGGCCTCCAAACTCAGCCCTGAGGAAGAGTCCTCATCTCCAGCTTTACAGAGATGTAATTTACATCTCTTAAGGTTCACTCAGATAAACCATATAATTCCATGAATTTCAGAATATTCATAGAATTTGTGCGACCATCAACATGGTGGAATTTTAGAGCACAGCTCTCACCTGGCAAAAAATAGCGCATTCATTAGCAGTCCCTCCCCATTGCAGAGTGGGGCAGAATTTTGTTTGTTTTGGTCGTCTTTGAACCATAGCCAGGTAGTGTCTGTCAGATAGTTAGTTGACTGCTCAGAACCTTTCCCATGCCCAGTGACTTTATGTTTATAAGGACAATTTTTTAAAAAGAAATTCATACAAACATTCTGCTTTACCCACAAGGACACAGTTTAAGGACCCTCTATAAGGACATTATTATCTAAAAAGAAAATAAACTAAGTAAAACATGTCCGTTATCTTTTTTTTTCTTTCTTTTCATTGTGCTGGTACTGAGGCTTGAACTCAGGGCCTCCCTTTCTGGCTCAGCTTTTCCAGCTCAACTGGTGCTTTACTACCGCTAGCCACACCTCTAGTTCCTGTTAACCAATTTCTTCCCATTAGAATTTAGTCTTATCTATTGACAAGCTAAGTGCTAGGAACAGAGAAGTACAAACCAACCAACCCTGGGCTTTGCAGACATTTTCTACATTGTACTTAGTGCAATATAATTCTTATTTTGTATAATTGGTGAGTTTGTTGACTTGTGGAGCCACAAATAAGAGAAAATATTTTTCCGTACTTGGTAGTCTGTAGGCAGCAGGGGCTCAGTTAATGCTATGCATTTTTATTCTTATTTAGTTTTCATTGATTCAAGAATTCCTGCAGGTGAAGTCACTCAAAACAAACTCAACTCCTAGCCTTGGGAGCTTTAGAGTCTAGCTGGGAGACAATAAACATGGTAAGTAAGGAAATTATCTTGTATATTAGGTAAGGGTAGGCACACACCAGGTGCTCAATCTGTGTTAGCTATTAATAGTAAGTCATCTTTAACTCACTCAATGCACCTCCATATCCGGTTTGGGGAGTGCCTCTGCAAGAGTGCATCATAATGGTCTTCCCCACAACTTTCTATGGAAAGCCAGAAGTAGTGGGGTGGGGGAGCAAATCCACAACAGGTTCAACTGAGCTTCAGATGCAGATGCCAGGGTGGGGGGAGGGGAAGATCCCAGTTTTTTTTTTTTTTTGGGGGGGGGGAATTTCAGAAAATGTTCCCTGGAAGGACTTTTCCAGAAAAGGGGTGGGGGAAAACAGGGTAACAAAACAGCGCTTTGGGGGATTCCCTTTGTTTGGGTAGAAAAAATTGGGAGAAGTCTATGAAGGCAATGAGCAGTGACCACAGCCCCCTCAGAAGAGAAAAGGTCAGTGTTGGTCGGCAGCAAGGTAGGGTGGAAAGGAGAGGTGGGATTCTGGTATGTTCTGAAGGTTTGACTCCAACGGCTTTCTTAAGAGATTACAGGCCGGGCACCGTTGCCTCTTGCGTGTACTCCTACATACACAGGAGGCTGAAATCCGACGATCCCGATTTAAAGCCAGCTCAGGCGGGAAAGTCTGTGAGACTCTGATCTCCAATTAAGCACCCAAAAAGTAGAGCGCTAGCCTTGAGCCCAAAACAAAAACAACCAAACGCAGGGACAGCGCCCCGGCCCTAAGTTCAAGCCTCAGGACCCACACAAAAAGAGAGATTACGGGTGGGGGAGCAGAAAAGAATGACTTGCACGTGTGGTGCCATCAGCACAGACGCGGAGGGAAGTGTGAGCGGCCCTTCCCTTCCCTCGCGGCTAAGGTGCTGGCCATTACAGTAATAATCGGGAGCGCAGCAGGGAGAAGGGCATGCTTCTTTCCCGCGAACTAGCAGGAGGCGCCCTGTCCATGAGCCCACGAACACTTAAGGGTGAAACGCTGGGGAGGTCAAGGTTATGGAGTGCTCTGGAAGTGTTAGAGCTAGTCCTAGGCTACTGGCGGGGCCTTTGCTCTCCCAACGGAGATGCTATGGAAAGTCTCAGCGTTCGGCCCAAGGAACGCCGAGGGCCCCTTGGCAGTTGAGTGTTCGGCTAGTCCCCAGGGACTGGGGCGCCTCCTTTGGGCGCGAGCTTTGAGTTCGTCGGGAGCAGTCTGGCCTTGCCTTAGTCAAATCTCGGACGGGGAGAGCCGGAAGAGTGTGTGGGTGCCCCAAAATGGCTTTTCAAGTTACCCTAGGCAACTCGCTTGCTTACTACCCACTTTTCTGAGAGGAAAGTTTGAGGGTAGGAGAAGAGTGAGCCTCAAACTTCCAGGGCACACTTCCACGTCGGGCGCCTAGGTGCGTCCTGAGAAGCAGGGGACCAAGCAGCACCACAGGCTCCCCCGGAGGGACGAAGTGAGAATGAGTGAGGGGCTCGCTTACCCTAGAAGTTAGGGCGGTCGGGGAAGGACTCCTTCAGACCAGCACAGAAAGACACTCCAACCCCACGGCCCTGAATGAGGCCAAGAAACAGACGCCCCACTCACCTGTGTCACAAGAGCAGCGGTGCGCAGGTAGGCAGGCGTCGCTCAGCTCTGACGACCACACCAACAAGGGGCTTCTCTGCTCCCCACCTCCAGCCAGCTCGGGGGGTGGGGCGGGGGGGGGAGTGGGCATGCGCAGCCGCCCTCTTTCGCCCCCACCCACCTGTCTGCAATCCCTACTCTGCTCCCGCCCCTACCGCTGGGGGGCCGGCCACTAGTCGGGTCTGGCCTGGAGCAACAGATCACCTATCGCGGGTCATGAAGGCGTTTTCCGAGATGTGCTGGTGCGGTGCGCGGCGCGGCGCTACAAGGCTGCTCCTCACTCCCTTGACCATTTGAGATGAGACCTGTCTGCGTGTAGGGGACTGTGTCAAGCTTTAACCTGGAGGGCAGGATATGGAGATTTGAGGAACCATTTTGAGTGAATGCTTCTTTGGGGCCAGGGGGCTTGTAAGGCAGCTTTAGCTTTTTGGTAGTTCTGGAAGAGTTTGCATCTGTCGGTCCCGGAGGGAAAAAAGTTACAAGGGGCTATTTTGTTAAAGTAGAAAGAACTTGATCTGCATGTTCCAAATTTGCAGCTATGGAAATCATAAGACACAATCTGACCAATGAGATTTAAATAGGGGTTTGGGGACGGACAACTGGGGTGCCCTTTCCCCAAATCCTCTCGTCCTTCCCGATTTCTCTTCTTTTTTACTTAGGTGGGTCTCTGAGGTCATTTTGGAGTTAGAAGGTGGCAATGAAGAAAATTCCCATGGGCTGGGAATGTGGCTTGGTGGTAGAGTGCTTGTCCAGCATGCATTAAGCCCAGGATTCGATTCCTCAGTACCACATAAACAGAAAAAGCCATTAGTGGTGCTGTGGTTCAAGTGGCAGAGCACTAGCCTTGAACACAGGGAGGCTCAGGGACAATACCCAGGTCTTGAGTTTAAACCTTAGGACAGGCAAAAAAAAGGAAGGAAAGAAGGGAGGGAGGGGCTGGGAAGGTGGCTCAGTGGTAGAGTGCTTGCCTTGCATGCATGAGGCCCTGGGTTCGATTCCTCAGCACCACAGAAGCAGAAAAAGCCAGAAGTGGTGCTGTGGCTCAAGTGGTAGAACACTAGCCTTGAGCTGAAGAGCTGAGGGACACCCAGGCAGAGTTCAGGCCCCACGACCGACCAAAAAAAAAAAAAAGAAAAAACTTCCTAGAAGCATCAACCAAAACAATTCTCATGCAGGAGAAATAAAACTCCAGAATTGTGCTCCTATTTCCTACCTCTTGGTAATCGCACTATACTCTTTCCCAAGAACCACCATGGCCACCACATCCAAGTTAAAATCGAATCCTATTCCTACCTCACCAATCAGGCCAGCAAAACAGATAGGGAAACTGGCGCTTGGTGAGGATACTTCCTGGTGGTTTTCTTATCTTTTCAGCCTAGGGAATGGCTGGGGCTGTCTAGAAGGCCATTTCTAAGGCAAGCACTCATTTTCTCATGTGTTCTCATTAATTTCCAGTGAAGCCAATCAAGCTGTTCCATGTTTTGGTTGTTTGCTGTGCAATGGATGGATAGGGGTTGAACTGAGGAATACCTATTCTCTAGTCCATTACTCATCAGTCCAGCTGACTGAAGATGTGAGGATTTTTCAACATACTCAAAAGGCTTTCTCCAGTTTTTGCATCAATTTTATTCATATGCAACCCTGCTGTTACTGCCAGTTCCCCTCCCTCCAGTGTTACCCCTGGCTTGGGGCTACTGAGTTTTCCCTCTCCTTCTGGGGTGAAGTAGTGGTGTTCCTTGAACAGTAGTGGATAAGATCAGGTCCAAAACTGAACATTACAGTTTCTTAAAAATTATTTACACTTAAATAAGCACCCATGGGAAACTTGTAAAGGATATTCAGGGTGGGGCAGAATGAGGGGTTGCCCTCACCCAAGGTACAGGTTGCAACAAACTAAGAACTCGGGCTGCTTTATTTTGGGGTCTTGGGAAAGGTAGAAGATGATGTGGATTCTGGGATTTAATTGGGGGAGGGCATGTCCTCTCCAAATTTGTTCTTGTGAGCCACAGTCTTCACATGGAGGACATCCTGAGGAGGAGGCAACAAGAAGGCAGGTGAGAGAAGTGAGGATGACTTTACCTTGGCCTGCTCCAGCCCTCAGCCACTCTATCTCCTAGACTAACCCACACCACCCTTAAACCCTCACAGGACAACCATGAGGAGGGGGGGGTCTGTGTTTTTCCTTTACTCGATCACAGAAAGGACGTGGGCATGGGTAGGGGGTGAGTGTGCATGGGTTAAAGGGTTTGCCCCAACTCACCTGGTGGTGGACATAGGCCTCACAATGGTAACACCAGGAAGAGAGGTCTACACAGCTGAGGACTAATGGGTGTTGAGAAGCTTCGTAATGGCTGACCATGTGACCATTTATATAACGACTGCAGTAGACCTGAGATGGGGGAGTGAGTATGGGGAAGTGGGGTTGGCACCACCCTTAGATTTGTTGCTGGGTTGGCCACCACTCCATTGCCTTTCTGTTCCATACCTTATAGCAACTAAGACACACCCAGTTCTCCTCCATAGTTCCACAGGTATCACAAGGTTGGTTTACGTTCAGTCCTGCTGCAGGTATGGGGCACACTGCCCCCAAATGGGGGCACCAAGGCATTGGTGTTACAGCATAAAATAAGTCCTAGGATGGAAAAGTGAAACTAAATTGAAGACTTTATCTCTCTACTATATATCGTATGACCCTGTCTAGTGATATGAGGAAGCAAGATGAAGAAACCATAACCCCAGCTTCTCCCTGAGCTCACCTCATCATTGTCAGGAGCAACAGTGATAGTAGCAACAGCAGCAGCAGCTTCCCCAGATCCAAATGCCAGCTGAGAGTTATTAATAGGCTCACCTCCAGCTGCTTCTCCCAGTAGGCCTTCATCTTCTGGGTCTTCATCTTCCAGGGCTCTCTGGACAGAGAAGGAAAAGATGGAACTGAGAAGTCTAATTTTTTTTTTTTTTTGTCAGTCGTGAGGCCTGAACTCAGGGCCTGGGCGCTGTCCCTCAGCTCTTCAGCTCAAGGCTAGTGCTCTACCACTTGAGCCATAGCAACACTTCTGGCTTTTTCTGCTTATGTGGTGCTGAGGAATAGAACCCAGGGCTTCATACATGCAAGGCAAGCGCTCTACCACTGAGCCACCTTCCCAGCCCCATCCCCAAGCTTCTTTTGCTCAAGGCTAGCACTCTACCACTTGAGCCATAGCACCACTTCTGGCCTTTTCTGATTATGTGGTACTGAGGAGTTGAACCCAGGGCTTTGTGCATGCTGGGCAAGCATTCTGCCACTAAGCCACATTCCCAGCCCTCCAATTCTTTTTTCTTTTTGGTGGCAACTGGAGTTTAAAGTCAGGGCCCCATGCTTGCTAGGCAGGTACTCTTACCACTTGAGCCATACCCTTGGCCCTTTTTAACTTTTGTAATTTTTCAGATAGGGTCTCACCTTTTGTTTTGTTTTGGTGCTGGTTCTGGGCTTGAACTCAGGGCCTAGGCACTGTCCCTAAGCTGTTTTGCTCAAGGCTGGTGCTCTACCACTTGAGCCACATCTCTACTTCCAGCTTCTTGCTGGCTAATAGGAGATGAGCCTCACTGACTTTCCTGAGCCTGGCTTCAAATGGTAATCCTCAGTTCTCAGCCTCTTGTGCAGCTAGGATTATAGGCATGAGCCACCCATGCCTGGTTAGGGTCTTATATTTGTACCAGGGTCAGCCTAGACTGTGATCCCCCTACTTACACATCCCAGTTTACATGTGCCAGGTTGTTTACAACACCAGGTTGTTGATGTAGGATCTTGCTAACTTTTTGCCTACACTGACCTTGAACCATGATCCTCCAGATCCTTCTACCTCCAGAGTAGCTGAAATTCAGATGCATGCCACCATGCCCAGCAAGAACAATTCTTAACTCTCCTTCCCTTGCCCCAGGTGTGGTGGCCTTACCTGAGCTTCATTGCCTGGTTCTAAAATTCTGGGATTCCCAATCTGCTGAATGGGGGATAGCTGGAATGTGGTTCCCTGCTGAAGTGAGATCTCCTTATCTCTGTCTGAGTCTAGAGGAGTTTGGATCAGCTTGGCTCCTCCCAGAGCATCCTCTGAGTTGGTCTGGTCTAGTATGACTTCCCCTGTAGCCTCTGAGGTGGCTTCTCCTACAGTCTCTTTGGAGGTGACCTCGTCCACCTTGGCTCCTCCCACGGTCTTTTTGCAGGTGACCTTGTCCACCTTGGCTCCTCCCACGGTCTCCTTGCAGGTGACCTCGTCCACCTTGGCTCCTCCCATGGTCTCCTTGCAGGTGACCTTGTCCACCTTGGCTCCTCCCATGGTCTCCTTGCAGGTGACCTGATCCACCATGTCTCCTCCCATAGTCTCCTTGGAGGTGGCCTGGTCCACCTTGGCTCCTCCCATTGTTTCCTCAGAGGTGGCCTGATCCACCATGTCTCCCCCCACAATCTCCTTGGAGGGGGCCTGGTCCACCTTGGCTCCTCCCACAATCTCAGAGGTGGCCTGGTCCACCATGTCTCCTCCCACAGTCTCCTCTGAGGTGGATTGGTCCACCATGTCTCCTCCCACAGTCTCCTTGGAAGTGGCCTCATCCACCGTGTCTCCTCCCACAGTGTCCTCAGAGGTGGCTTGGTCTACCTTGGTTCCTTCAGTCTTCTCACAGATGACCTTGTCCACCACGGCTCCTTCTCCATCAGTCTCCTCAAAGGTGATCGGGTCCATCATGGCTTCTCCCACAGTCTCATTGGAGGTCGCCTGGTTCATCTTGGTTCCTCCAACACTATTCTCGAAGATGGCCTGGACCACCATGGCTCCTCCCACAGTGTTCTCAGAGGTGTCCCAGGTTAGTTTTGATTTCCAACTATCTCTCTGAGCCTTGTTTTGAGCACATGTGGTCACTTTGGCTGTCTTCACTTTGGTGTGAACTGCAGTAGGTGCTTTTGCAGATGACGCTGAGGTAACCTTCCTCATGCTTGCTTTTACACCCTTCCCTTCTGGCATGGTTACCCCCTTAGCCAACCTAAGATGGGTTGGATGGGATGCCTTCCTGGTGATGGGTTTGGAAGTGCAGGGTGAATCCTTGTCTTCTACCTCTGGAACCATGGAGGAAAATCCTTGAGTGCTGTCCCCTTTTCTGCCTCTAATGTCTGCCCCCCTCCCAATTCTTTTCATTGTCCCCACTTTCCCATGTCTACTCACTCAGGACCCTCAGGCTGCGCCAGTATTTGCGATGGGCTTGGATGGTCTCCGTAATTGAGGCCAGGGCCCCTGGTTGTGGTGGCCGAAGCATCGATAACAGGGGTGGCGGATCTCCAAGGAGGGAATGGGTACAGGCAGCCATTGACTCTGAGATGGATGTCAGGTTGTAGCCACCCTTTGGGGAGGAAAAGATAACAGTGGGAAGGTCTTTGGGGAATTTGGGAGGATCCTACAGTCCTAAATCCCCTTCTTTCCCATGTCAGGGCCCTCAAAGCCCAGAATGGTGGGTGGTAGGAGGAACGAAACCCACATTTGTAAAATGGGCACCACTTGTTGTATGAGGTGGTTGTTGTGGGAAAGGTAAACTGGGTTGTCAAAGTGCAAAGTAGCAATAACTGTACTGATAGCCGGGCGCCTGTAATCCTAGCTACTCAGGAAGCTGAGATCTGAGGATCATGGTTCAAAGCCAGCCAGGGCAGGAAAGTTCGTGAGACTCTCATCTCCAATAAACTGCTAGAAAAACCGAAAGTGGTGCTGTGGCTCAAGCGGTAGAGCGCCTCGCCTTGAGCTGAAGAGCACAAGGATAGCATCTAAGCCCAGAGTTCAAGCCCCACAACCGACCAAAAAAACCCAAAAAACATTAGCTGGGTACCAGCAGCTCATGGCTGTAATCCTAGCTACTCAGGAGGCTGAGATCTGAGGATCGTGGTTTGAAGCCAGCTCTGAGACTCTTATCTCCAATTAGTCACAGAAAAAGCTGGAAGTAGCACTGGGGCTCAAGTGGTAGAGTGCTAGTCTTGAGCAAAAGGAGCTCAGGGTTAGTGCCCAGGGCCACAGTTCAAGTTCCAGGACCAGCAAAAGAAATCTGAGGATTATGGTTTGAAGCTAGCCTAGGCAAGAAACTCTTATCACCAATTAATCACCTAAAAACCTTGAGCTGTGGCTTAAGTGGTAGAGCACTAGCCTTGAGTAAAAGCAGCTTAGGGCCCAAGTCCCAGGACCAGTACCCCCCTACCTGCAAAAGTCATTAGTAATTAGCTAACATCAAGTGTTTGTTTTCTGCCAGATTCTATTTTAAATATTTAGTGCATACTAACATAGTTAATCCTCACAACCACAGGTGCTTAATCTGTAGAAGAATCTGCCTTCGGAGGCTGGGAAGGTGGCTCAGTGGTAGAGTGCTTGCCTTGCATGCATGAGGCCCTGGGTTCGATACCTCAGCACCACATAAGCAAAAAGAAAAAAGCCGGAAGTGGCACTGTGGCTCAAGTGGTAGAGTGCTAGACTTGAGCTGAAGAACTGAGGGACAGCACCCAGGCCCAGAGTTCAGGCCCCGCGACCGGACCCCCCCTCCCAAAAAAAAAAGAATCTGCCTTCAAGCTGGGTGCCAGTGGCTCTTGCCTGTAATCCTAGCTACTCTGGAGGCTGAGATTTGAGGATCAGGATTCAAAGCCAGCTCTGGCAGGAAAGTCCGAGAGACTCTTACCTCCAATAAACCACTCAGAAAACCAGAAGTGGCCGTGTGGCTCAAGTGGTAGAGCACTAGCCTTGAGCTAAAGAGCTGAGGGACAGTACCCTGACCCAGAGTTCAAGCCCCACGACTAACAAAAAAAAAATGCCTTTGCACCATCCAGAAAACTGTCTTAACACTATCCTTGAATCCCTGGCCTCACACCTAGATCTGTCCAGACCTGCACAAAATGTGTAGTGTGAACCTATACAGGAGTCCTAGACCTGACCTTGTACATGAACAACTGGTATTTCTCTCTATATGATTCCTCATGACTTGAACTTTTTCATCTATAGTAACCTGTTTCCCTTTTTACACATATAAAGAAACTAAGGCTCAGAATGCTTAGATAACTCATATTGAAGAATTAGTGCTAGATGTGCTATCTGACAAAATAGTCTACATTGTTTTTTGTGTTTTGTTTTTTTTTTTGTTCTTGTACTGCGGCTTGAATTCAAGGCTTTAGACTCTCACTTGGCTTTTTTTGTTAATGGCTGGTACTCTATCACTAGAGCCATGCCTCTACTTCCCATTTTCTTCTGAGTAGAGATAAGAGTATTCTTGATTTGTCTGCCTGGGCTGGCTTTGAACTACAATGCTCAGATCTCAGCCTTCTGAGTAGCTAGGATTTACAGGCATGAGCCACCAGCACCTGGCTATTAGTCTGCAATTTTAATCACCACCCTGGCCTGGCACAAGCATTCCTGGGTACACTGTAAGTCAGACTTTTTGCCAGCCAGTTAATTTCTCTGTCACTTACTTTTCTCATCTGTAAAATAGTGATAATAGGGGCTGGGAAGGTGGCTCAGTGGTAGAGCGCTTGCCTTGCATGCATGAGGCCCTGGGTTCGATTCCTCAGCACCACATAAGCAAAAAAGAAAAAAAGCCAGAAGTGGTGCTGTGGCTCAAGTGGTAGAGTGCTAGCCTTGAGCTGAAGAGCTGAGGGACAGCGCCCAGACCCAGAGTTCAGGCCCTACAACCGGACCCCCCCCCCAAAAAAAATAGTGATAATAACAGCATTGACTTTTGTTGAGGGTTAAATGAAGGTGTGGACAATGCTTAATGGTAAGGAGACATAGTATTTTACATCTCTTATCATACAGCCACTCTGCCATGGGTAGCCAGACTCATCTTGTAGATGAGGACACCTAGGCACAGGGGTGAAGGGACCTGCAAATTTACTTTGTTCAGGAATTTGGTTTGCTAGGAGCAATTCAGACAGTGGTAAAAAGCAGACTCCAGGTCAGAGCTAGGCTGCCTGGGGTACAATCCCAATCTTCCATTATTAAATATATGACACTGTTCCACTCTGTGCCTTGGTTCCTTTGATTTTTTTTTTTTGTTGTTGGTCTGGTCGTGGGGCCTGAACTCTGGGCCTGGGCGCTGTCCCTCAGCTCTTCAGCTCAAGGCTAGCGCTCTACCACTTGAGCCACAGCACCACTTTCGGCTTTTTTTCTTTTTGCTTATGTGGTGCTGAGGAATCGAACCCAGGGCCTCATGCATGCAAGGCAAGCGCTCTACCACTGAGCCACTTCCCAGCCCTTGATTTTTTTTTTTTTGTTGATCATGGGACTTGAACTGAAGACCTAGCCACTGTCCTTGAGCTCTTTTGCTCAAGCTAGCACTCTACCACTTTGAACCACAGCTCCACTTCTGGATTAGTGATTAATTGGAAATAAGAGTATGATGGACTTTCTGTCCTGAGCTGACTTCAAACCATGATCCTCAGATTTCAGCCTTTTGATTAGCTAGGATTACAGGCATGAGCCACCAGTGCCCAGCTAGTTGCTCTTGAGATCTTGAGAGATGAAAATGAGGTAAAGCAGACCTACTTTATAGGGGTACTTTATCAAGTAAATAAAGTGCTGAGAAGAGTGATTTGTGCATAGTCAGGGCCCAATTAAAGCTGTTATTGTCATTATCAATGCACACTATATGCCCATGACCCCAGATGGATTCATACTCAAAAGGGATTTAAGGAACCTTCACCGAGTGACACAGCCAACTCTTCCAACTGCCCTCCTACCATGGGAAGGGGGCCCGAGAGTTACCTCTAGGATAAGGATAGTGTGGCCATTGGCAAGGCCCATCAGCTGGTGAGTGAGATGGGCATAACATTCCGGTGACACCTGGCAGCCACCCAGTGGGTCACCCTGTGCAGCATCAAAACCAGCAGATACAAGCACCAGTTCTGGGTTAAACTGAGGCAAAGAGAAAAAAGAAACATGGGTATGAAGAGGAGGAGGAGGAGAAGGAGGAGGGCTTAAATAGACAGTAGGTGATGGGAGTGAGTGTAAGTAAAGGCATGGAGGGCAAGTCAGAGACATGGAGACTCAGGACCTAGAGCCTGGGAGAAGGCAGACTACAGACCTGAAAATAAAGAGCAGAAGACAGGGCAATGTGAGAAACAGAGATTTGGACAGACTGCCAGAGACAGAGACATGTTAGGCAGACCTAGGGGATGTGAAAACAATACAAGTGGACATGATGGGGACATGAGATAAGAGTCAGGAGACAAATATAAGTCACAGGCACAAGAGACATGGAAACTCAGGATATTAAGATGGTGACATGAGAATTGGAGAGGTAGAGACATGTTTTCTCTCACACGAGATGCACATGAATATGAAAGTGCTATGCAGATGGTCACAGACAGTTCCACATGGAACTGCACATCCACATTAGTCATGCACCACACACTTGCTTTCTCAGAGGGCAATAATCCATAGCTAAACCCTGCATAGTCACAAACATGCATGCCAGTACCACACTAACAATGCCCACAGGAGGTAGTCATCTTCACACACTTGCACATACACTACACATAAGGTCACCCTGGCCATTTGTGTATAGCCAAAGACTAAAAATAGCACATGGCCAGCCAAGGTCTGGGAGCTCACATCTGTAAATCCTAGCTACTCAAGAGGCTGAGATGTGAAGGATTACAGTTTGAAACCAGCCTAGGCAGAGAGGTTAAGAGTCCATCTCCAGGGCTGGGAAGGTGGCTCAGTGGTAGAGCGCTTGCCTTGCATGCCTGAGGCCCTGGGTTCGATTCCTCAGCACCACATAAGCAAAAAGAAAAAAGCCGGAAGTGGCGTTGTGGCTCAAGTGGTAGAGCGCTAGCCTTGAGCTGAAGAGCTGAGGGACAGCGCCCAGGCCCAGAGCTCAGGCCCCACGAACAGAACCAAAAAAAAAAAAAAAAAAGAGTCCATCTCCACTTGAGGCATGGCTCAAGTGGTAGAGCACTAGCTGAGCAATCAAACCTGGTCAAGCAAAAGGCCCTGAGTTCAAACCCTAGTAGCCAGGGGAAAAATTTAAAAACTAAACATAGGGCTGGGAATGTGGCTTAGTGGCAGAGTGCTTGCCTAGCATGCATGAACCCTTAGGTTCGATTTCTCAGTACCACATACACAGAAAAAGGCAGAAGAGGTACTGTGGCTTAAGTGGTAGAGTGCTAGTCTTGAACACAGAGAGGCTCAGGGAGAGAGCCCAAGCCCTGAGTTCAAGGCCCTGGTACTGGCAAAACAAAACAAAAAACAATAAAAGAAACTAAAAATCGAGGCATGTGCTCACATCCAGGCTCACACATGCATTCACTGAGTCAGTCATGTACACACCATCAGCCAACCCCTCCCCAAAACTCACCCCCCCCATCACACGTATTATATAGGGAATAGGAGATGACAAACAGCAGTCTGTGTGGTATCACATGCATGTACCCAACCCCCACCTCCCTTGCACACTCAGTTCCACACAGATGGCAACTCATGGCCATTCTCATACCCAGACAAGCAGTCACACAGGACACAGATCCAATCAGGTCACACAGGCTACTACCAGACATCAAGAAGGCCCTCATACCCAGAGAAACCACAGAAGCCCATCACATACAGCAGCAAGAGAGTTGCTTATTTGCAAAATGTCACACAGAGAGCAATGACATGCTGCCATGTGTGCAGACAGATATACAAGTTCGAGATCATCAAAGCCACCCCTGCCTCAAGAGTCATTACTATCTCCACCCACAGGCTGTCTCACAGGATCAGACACCTGGCAGTCAGACACATGCTGCAAAGGCAGGCATATGTTGCTACCTTTATAGATGTGTCATGTAATAACCTAAGCCTTACCTCGTATGCAATTGGAAGCACAAGTCGATGCCATGCAGCCAGGTAGTCAGCATCACCCATACGGGGCCCATTCCAGGCCACATTGACAGTGAAGCCCATGCCCTCAGCCAGACCTACGTGTTTGCTGGACCCCTCATCCCCCATGGGGAAGAAAGTGCCACGATCATAGCGGTGCAGGGACATATAAAGCACACTGTGGGCAACAGGATGGGAAGAAAAAGGAGCCATAGCTGGTTAGGGGCATGGTCAGCCCCTTCCCTCACCATACCCTTTGTCCTTAGCTTCTATCCCTTACCTGGGGTCATTCTCAAAGATGTGCTGAGTTCCATTCCCATGATGGATGTCCCAATCCACAATTAGGATCCTGGAGAGGGAATAGCATCTGAGTAAGCTGAGATATTTGTCCCTTGGAAGAGGGCTAGGGCTAGTTGCGTGGGGTCTGCAGAGGCATTCGTTGCTGGGTAGCAGAACCTTTGGTCTCTTGGGAAAGGGTTGGATGTTAGTATGAGGATAAATCCTGGCCTCTGGGCTTTTCTGGGGAATGACTAGGTAAATGGAGGGGCCTGGATGGCCAAGTCTCACATGCTGGCTCCTAGGGGGTGGTCAGGAATGCTAAGACAGAACCCCTGAACTGGGGCTTGAATTCAAGGCCTTGTGCTCTTGCTTGGCTGTTTACATTTTGGCTTTTTTTCTGGTTAGCTTGAGATATGAGTCTCATGGATTTGTCTGCCTGGACTGGCTTCAAACCTCAATCCTCAGATCTCAGCCTCCTGAGTGGCTAAGATTATAGGCATGAGCCGCTGCTGCCTGTGCAGGATCCTGGTGGCAAAATCTAGAGGTCTTGCATGGGAAGTGCTGAAAGGATTCTTTTTGGTTTTTGTCTGGGGAGAAGCTTCAGTGATCCTTGGCTTGTTTCTGGGAAAGTTCTAGGGGTTGGTACTATGGGCCAGAGGTGGGGAGGTCCAGATTGTTGCAAGGAGCAGGTTGTGGTGATGGTGGGGGTGGGGTGGGGGTGTCTCCAGGGAGCTCTTACCTTAAGGCAGTCCCCCTAATGGCTTGGGCATGGCGAGCAGCCACAGCCACAGAATTAAAAAAACAGAAGCCACAAGCAGCATCGTGCTCTGCATGGTGTCCAGGGGGGCGCACCAGAGCAATGCCGTTTAAAACCTTAGGGGAGAAATGAAGAGTAAGACCGGATCCCTGGCCATCATATTTGTGGCTCCCTCTTTCTTCTCTGTCCCTTCCACCAGTCCACCACCTGCTTGGTGGGATTAATCCCAATTCCCAGTGAGCATAGACACTCCCACTACCTCTCTCCAGCCTTGTTCAGCTCTTTCAAGGAGAGAGTGTAAGTGGTAGATGGCTCTCTTCCCATTCCCCCAGGATCTCCTCTCTCTAGCCCAATGCCATCTCATGAGGACCCACCTCTCCTGATAGTACAGCTTCCACCAGGCGGCAGACAGCACCTGTAGCTAGCTGAGCACAGGTGAATGTGCTGGGGCAGATGTAGATGGAGTCAAAGTTGGCACCCTCGCGGTGCAGTTCCCGGGTTTTCATTGTCTCTGTAGCCCGGAGACGCTCCACATACTGGGCACTGGAGGTAATATAGAGACAGTTGGGTAGATCTGTCCATTTCCCACCCCATGCTGAGTCAAGAATAGGTGAGCAGCAGTTTCACCCACAATGGAAGGGGAGCCCCAAGCTCTACCCGCCCCCCCGCCCCCCCCGCCCCCCCCCCCCCCAGAGAACCACCACAGTCTTGTGGCTACCTATTTTCAGTACAGACTGACCTGTGGCAGGTAAGGAGCTCGGCATCAGTGGCAGGCCGCACAGGCAGGTGGAGACAGCGTGCTGCAAGCCCTAGTTCCTCTAAGTGGCACATGATCCGCAAAATACGCTGGGGTGTCTCAGGGTGGTGGCTAGCAGTGGAGATAAAATCAGAGAGAAGGGTTTAGTGGCTTATGAGAAGTGTCCCTCACCAACTTCATTCCAGCCTTCTAAATGCATACTTGTCCCACAGGTTGCAGTGACTCATCATTCTTTGGTCATAGACCAATCCTGTACGATGCTGTAGCGTGGGCCATGTCAGGACTGGCAGTGAAGTGGCCCCCAAGGGTCCTTCCCCTTCCTCTTGTCTCTCGTCCCAGTTGTCTCCAGACTCATTGTCCTCCTCCGTACTATCAACTGCAAGGAGAAGTCACCTTCACCCTACTTCCCCAATTTGGATCCCCATCATACTGTGACAAATGTAACTCAAACACACAAAAAGCCTGAAATCTGGGTCTGGTGGAGAGACTACGACTCTCCTTAACCAAGATGGCCTAGGCACCAGTGATTCACGCCTGTAATCTTAGCTATTCACGAGGCTGAGATCTGAGGATCATGGTTCAAAGCCAGTCCATACAGGAAAGTCCGTGAAACTAAGTTCCAGTTAGCCACCAAACAGCCAGAAGTACAGCTTTGGATAAATGGTAGAGCACTAGCTTTTGAGTGAAAAAGCTAAGGGGCCAGCCATTGGTGGATGAGATGGTACAAAGCCAGCCACAAGCAGACAAGTGTGTAAGATGGTTATCTTCAATTAACGACCAAAAAACAGGGAGTAGCCAAGTACTGGTGGCTTATACCTGTAATCCTAGCTCCTCAGGAGGCTGAGATCTGAGGATCGTGGTTCAAAGCCAGCCCAGGCAGGAAAATCTGTGAGACTTTTATCTCAAATTAATCACCAGAAACAGGAAGTGGTGCTATAGCTCAAGTGGTAGAGTGCTCACCTTGAACTGAAGAGCTCAGGGAAAGTGCCTAGGCCCAGAGTTAAAGCCTCGAGATGGACAAAAATACAAAAACAAAAACCAAAAAAAATGGAAAGTAGTGCTGTGGCTCAAGTGGTAGAGTGCCAGTCTTGAGCGAAAAAGCTAAAGGATAGCTCCTAGGACCTGAGCCCTACTACTGGCACACACACATACAAAAGCTAAAGAACACCCAGGCTCTGAGTTCAAGCCCCAGTACTGGCACACAAAACAGGAGGTCTCAGAGAGTGCTGTCCCTCCCTACAGGGTATATTACATGCACGATCTTATCAAGTCCACTCTCCCTCCCCCCCACCTCCTACCTGTATTCACAAGGACTTCCCAGAATGGTTCTAGGGCTTCCAGAGTACAGGAGACCGAAGCCTGAGCACTGGGGGCAGAAGAGGGAGAAACTGGATGAAATGGCCCCCAGGTGGGCAAGAAAGGTCTCCCGCTTTTTTTTCTTGTCTTGGGGCTTAAATTCAGGGCCTGGGCACTATCCCTGAACTTCCTTTTGCTCAAGGCTAGCACTCTACCACTTTGAGCCACAGTGCTACTTCCGGCCTTCTCTGTTTATGTGGTACTGAGGAATCGAACCCAGGGCTTCATGCATGCTAGGCAAGCACTCTACCACTAAGCCACATTCCTAGCCCAAGAGTCTCCCTTTTCCCCACCTCCACTCAGGCTCACCTTTGACATGGTGCACCAGGGGACTCTAGCATAGGGCAAGGGTCTCCCAGAAGGGTATGGAGAGATGCACTGACACCCCTAGCCAGAGACTGGAGGTTGTATCCACCCTGAAAGGGAGTAGGGATCAGACATGTCTATGTTACCACATTACCAGGGAATACTGATAATAATTACTGTATTAGGTAACACTATATATGCATATGCGCGCGCGCACACATATACACACACACACACACACACACACACACACACACACACACACACACACACACACACACACACACACACACACACACACACACACACACACACACACACACACACACACGGCTTGAACTCTGGGCCTGGGTGATGTCCTTCAGCATTTCAGCTCAAGGCTAGCTCTCTACCACTTGAGCCACAGCACCACTTTCTCGGTTTTCTGATGGTTTATTCCAGATAAGAGTCTCAAGGACTTTTCTGCCCGGCTGGCTTTGAACCTCAATCCTCAGATCTCAGCCTCCTACAGGCATGAGCCACAGCCCGGCTGCATTCTACCACTTTGAGCCACAGCTCCACTTATGGCTTTTTTGGTGCTTAATTGGAGATAAGTGTCTCACAGACTTCTCTGCCTGGGCTGGCTTTGAACAAGGATTCTCAAATTTCAGTCTCCTGAGTAGCTAGAATCACAGATGTAAACCACTCGCATCCAGCTGGTTTGTGACCTTTTTTTGTCAGTTGTGGGGCTTGAACTCACGACCTACGCATTGTCCCTGAGCCTCTTTGTGCTCAAAGCTAATGTTCTAACACTTGAGCTACAGCACTACTTCTGGTTTTTGAGTGGCTATTTGGAGATAAGAGTCTCCTGGGGACTTTTTTTGCCAGGGGTGGCTTTGAACCGCAATCCTCCTTTACAGGCCTAAGCCACCAGGGCCTGGCTGAGTTTTGTTTTTTTTTTTTTAATTTGCAGTGCTGAAGATGGAGCCAAGAAGCTGGGCGCTGGTGGTGAGCCTGTAATCCTAGCTACTCAGGAGGCTGAGATCTGAAGATCAAAGCCAGCCTGGGCAGGAAGGGCCCTGAGACTTTTTTTTTTTTGTCGGTCGTGGGGCTTGAACTCTGGGCCTGGGCGCTGTCCTTCAGCTCTTCAGCTCAAGGCGAGCGCTCTACCACTTGAGCTACAGCACCACTTCCAGTTTTCTGGTGGTTTATTGGAGATAGGAGTCTCACAGTCTTTCCTGCCCGGGCTGGCTTTGAACCGTGATCCTCAGATCTCAGCCTCCTGAGTAGCTAGGATTACAGGCGTGAGCCACCCGTGCCCGGCTGGCCCTGAGACTTTTATCTCCAAAAAACCACTTAGAAAACCAGAACTGGCACTGTCGTTCAAGTGGTAGAGTGCTTGCTTTGAGCTGAAGAGCTGAGGGACAGCGCCCAGGCCCAGAGTTCAGGCCCCACGACTGACAAAGAAAAAAAAAAAAAAAGATGGAGCCAAGAGCCTCAAAAGTATGTTGGGGAAGTGCTCTGCCACTGAAGCCATACCCAGTCCAAAAGTTCTCCTCATTTTTTTTTTTTTTTTTTGCTGGTTGTGGGGCCTGAACTCTGGGCCTGGGCACTGTCCCTCAGCTCTTCAGCTCAAGGCTAACACTCTACCATTTAAGCCACAGCGCCACTTCTGGCTTTTTCTGCTTATGTGGTGGTGCTGAGGAATCGAACCCAGGGCCTCTTGCATGCAAGGCAAGCACGCTACCACTGAGCTGCCTTCCCAGCCCTCTTCATTTTTTTTGTGTGCTGGTACTGAGGCTTTAATTAAGGAAGGGCTAAGTTGCTCTCCCAGCGATTTAGCACAAGACCAGTGTTCTACCACTTCAGCCATACTTCCGTTTCTAGAAAAGTTTTTTTCTTAAAATGTTTAAGGTGCCCAGGGTAAGATGAAGTTGAGTCACTTACCTCCAGAGACAGAATTAGCTTGCCTCCTGCCATACCCATGAGCAGATGGGTTAACTGGGCAAACCCTGCAGGGGTGGCAGCCATCTCGCCCTGAAAAAACATGAAGAGTAAGCCTGGTTAAATACACCCCCTTTTGTACACTTGCTATCCCAGAGATACTGCCTTACCTTGGGGTCCCCTTGGAGGGCATCAAATCCAGCAGCTACCAGGACCAGTTGAGGCTGAAACTATAGGGTGATGGGTAGAAAGAGTATATGAGGCTACCTACCCTCAGGGACCACCCCCCTCAATGTTGCCCCTTATCCCAACCTTCCCCAAATCCCCAGAACCTCAGAAGCAACAGGCAACAGGATGTGGAGAAAAGCAGCAATGTAGTCCGCATCCCGCATCCCCACCTGCAGACATAGGGGATAGTCAGCTAGCTGCCATAAGGTGTTGGATAGAATTGGGCCTCACTTTAAGAGTGATCAGACACTGACCTGATTCCAAGGTATATTGATGTTGTATCCTTGCCCTTGGCCACAACCTATGGCAGACCAGTTAGAGGCCTGGAGGTGGGGCCAGAACCGACCCTGCTCATAGCGGTGGATGGAGAAGTATAAAACACTGGGGACAGATAAAAGACAGAATGAAGGATTGTGCCCTAAAGGCTCTGGGTTAAATGCCGAGGATAAGAAATAATAAAGGTAATCTGGGAGCCAGGGGCTCAGGCCTATAATCTTAACTACTCAGGAGGCTGATGTCTGAGGATTTTGGTACCTTCGTCTGAGGTCAAGGTAGGAAGAGCAGGATAAAACCTATAACACGAGGCCCATAGGGCCTTGGTGAAGACAGCAAAAGCTGAAAAGAATCCCAGGACAGGAGAGTTTAGAGATTCTCCTGAAGGAAATGAGGGGACCTAGAGGCCAAGAGTGAGGAGAGGAAGCTGGTTCTGTGTATGGAATGGAGGAGCTGTCTAGGATTGTCATCAGGCCAGTCTCTTCTCCCCAGTACCTTTTAAGATATCCCTACTTCTATTTTATAGGTGAGAAAAGTCAATTGTCACAGCATTGAGAGGGACTGACATGAAAAACAGATATAAAAAGACATGATATATATATAGATTTCAACTAAAAAATGATGTACAGGTTCAGACAGAGAAGATGAGATGAACAGGTATGATGTGGAGTTGCTGGGGTGGGGCTTCATTCTAAGGAAACAAAATGAATAATCTATCATCCATCTGTCCACCCTGTCTTCTGATCAGTCCCTCCAACCTGATTCAGAAACTAAGGCTGAATTTCTCCTCTTTCGTGTGTGTGTGTGTGTGTGTGTGTGTGTGTGTGTGTGTGTGTGTGTGTGTGTGTGTGTGTGTGTGTGTGTGTGTGTGTGTGTGTGTGTGTGTGTGTACTGAGGCTTGAACTCAGGGCCCAGATGCTGTCCCTTAGGGTTTTTTTTGGTGTTTTTTGTTTGTTTGTTTGTTTTTGTGGATCGTGGGGCCTGAACTCAGGCCTGGGCGCAGTCCCTCAGATCTTCAGCTCAAGGCTAGTGCTCTATCACTTCAACCACAGTGCCACTTCCAGCTTTTTTTTTCTGCTTATGTGGTGTTGAGGAATCGAACACAGGGCATCATGCATGCAAGGCAAGCACTCTACCACTGAGCCACCTTACTAGGCCTGGTGTTTTTTTTTTTTGGGGGGGGGGTCCAGTCGTGGGGCCTGAACTCTGGGCCTGGGCGCTGTCCCTCGGCTATTCAGCTCAAGGCTAGTGCTCTACCACTTGAGCCACAACGCCACTTCCAGCTTTTTTCTTTTTGCTTATGTGGTGCTGAGGAATTGAACCCATGGCCTCATGCATGCAAGGCAAGTGCTTTACCACTGAGCCACCTTCCTAGCCCCTGGAGTTTGTTTTTTAGTGCCAGTCCTGGTGCTTAAACTTAGAGCCTGAGTGCTGTCACTTGAGCTTTTTTTTTCCCTTAAGGCTATAGCTCAAGTGTAGAATGCTAGCCTTAAGTAAAAAGGCTCACTGAAAGTACCCAGGCCATGAGTTCAAGCCCCACAACTGACCAAAAAATAGCTAAGGCAAAAAAGGGCTAGGCACCTGTAATCCTAGCTACTCAGGAGGCTGAGATCTGAGGATCACAGTTCAAAGCCAGCTTGGGCAGGAAAGTCCATGAAACTCTTCTCTCCAATAAATCACCAGAAAACGGGAAGTGGCACTGTAGCTTAAGTGGTAGAGCGCTAGCCTTGAGCTGAAGAGCTGCAGGACAGTGCCCAGGCCCAGAGCTCAAGCCCCACGGCCAAAAACAAAACAAAACAAAAAAAACACCAGAAAACCGGAAGTGGCGCTGTGGCTCAAGTGGTAGGACCCTAGCCTTGAGCTGAAGAGGGACAGTGCCCAGGCCCAGAGTTCAAGCCCTACAACCGACAAAAAAAAAGGGGGCTAGGAACATGGCTCTAGTGATAGAGCACCACCCTATCAAGTGTAAGGCCCTATCAAGTGTAAGGCCCTAAGTTCAAATTCCCCTATGAAGAAAGAGAGATCTATCAGAGACACAGTAATGAAAAAGACATAGACACACAGATAAACACACCAAAAAACAAAGAAATGAAAAAAAAAAACTGCCAGCAACAGCATATGAATAAAATGATGTCTCGAGAACAAAGGGCCATGGGAGCTCAAGACTTCTGAAGGAAAAAGTAGACTCTGTGTAGTCAGTTGGATAGACAACTAGAAAAAAACTACGATTTAGTAATTAATGTTCCTTACTGACAGCCAGGCTCTGGTGGCTCACACCTGTAATCCTTGCTACTCAGGAGGCTGAGATCTGAGGACTACAGTTCGACGCCAGCCCAGGGAGAAAAGTTACAAGACTCTTATCTCCAATTAACCACCAAAAAGCTGGAAGTTGTGGCTCAAATAATAGCACTAGCTTTGAGTAAAAAAGCTCAGGGATAACACCCTGCCTCAGCATGACATTATGAAGCAGCAGACACACAGGGGGCAGCACACATGCTGTTACCAGGTAGGCCCAATGAATTTGAATGTATTTCCTTCTAGCCCCTCTGGCTGGGTCTAGAAGGGTAGGAATTGTGGATGATTGGGACAAGGTATACCTCGGATCCTGGTCAAACATGAACTGTGTTCCTTGGCCATGATGAACGTCCCAGTCCACGATAAGGACCCTGTGGGAGGAAAGGGAGGGAAACGCTATACCAGGGGGCCATGGGGTAGCTGACCCCATGCCACCCCCATCGTATCCACTGTTAGGCACTGACCTCTTAATGTGGTGCTTCCTTTGAGCATAACGAGCAGCTACAGCTACATGGTTGAACATGCAATACCCACCCATCAGATCACGCTGAGCATGGTGTCCTGGAGGTCTGCACAGGATAGGAAAGGCCCAAGGTTTGAAAGCTTTCCTCTATAGAGAGATAGGCTCTCCCAGGCTCCCAATCCTAGACCAACAATTCCTTCAGTGTTGACACGATAAATCTTCTAGCAACTGATTAACTGGGGTCCTTAAGTCCTTACAACCCCCAATCTACTGTTCTCTCTCCAGAGAAGACATAAAATATTGACTAAAGTTATCCATGCCCTGGCTGAGCATGGTAGTGATTCCTCTAATCCCAGAACTCAGGAGGCTGAGATAGAAGGACAGAGAGTTCTAGCCTAGCCTGTGCTACAAAGTGAAATATATTTTTAAAAAAAGAGAAAAAAAAGGTTATCCATGCATACATTCTTATATCCAGTCATTTGCTTCAGGGATGTAGCCCATAGCCTATATAACATAAAGGTAAAACAACATGTTTACAAAATGTCCCACCATAACAAATGATTGGGGTGAATCAGAGCGCCCATCAGTTGGTGAGTGGTTAGCATAAAAAGTGCACTTGTACAATGACATCTACTGAGGCCTAACTTAAATACTGTTAGAGCAAGCTTTCTAAGACATGTAAGTGAAAAATACATGTTCTAGAAAGGAGCGTTTACATGCTTACTATCACCGGTGATTTTAAAAGGTTAGAAGGGAGGCTCAAGGGTGGCTTAGTGATAGAGCGCTTGCCTAGGTTGTACAAGATCCTGGGTCATCCCCAGCACTGCAAGAAAAAAACTGAGGGAGGACAAAGGTTCTATCTTCTGCATTTTGTCACTTCTAAAAAGCCAGTCACGGGCTGGGAAGGTGGCTCAGTGGTAGAGCGCTTGCCTTGCATGCCTGAGGCCCTGGGTTCGATTCCTCAGCACCACATAAGCAAAAAGAAAAAAAGCCAGAAGTGGCACTGTGGCTCAAGTGGTAGAGCACTAGCCTTGAGCTGAAGGGCTGAGGGACAGCGCCCAGGCCCAGAGTTCAGGCCCCACAACCGGACCCCCCCCAAAAAAAAGAAAGCCAGTCACGATGGGAGGAGTGGGGTGTGTCTATGACTTTACAGGCCAACTAAGCAGAAAATACTGACTAGATTTTAAGATGTCACTCTTTGTTATATGTATCTGGATTTCAAGATGTTCCATATATATACATATATATGTATACACACATCTATATACAGAGAGAGAGAGAGAGAGAGAGAGAGAGAGAATGCACATCTTAGAATCAATTAAATGTGATGGCTATTCTTTGAATAAGACTATCTGTAGGAGCCCGGTGATAGAGGCTCATGCCTGTAATCCTAGCTACTCAAGAGGCTGAGATCTGAGGAATGCAGTTTGAAGCCAGCCTGAGCAGGAATGTCCATGACACTCTTATCTCTCATTAAGTACCAAAAAAGCTGGAAATGAAAGAAGCTACCCTGAGTTCAGGCATCAGGATTGGCAAGGAAAAAAGAAAGAGACAGACAGAAAGTCAGAAAGACAGGAAGGGAGGAAGGGAGGGAGGAAGGAAGGAAGAAGGCAGGCAGGCAGGCAAAAAAAAAAAGACTGTCACATAATGACTACCTCTCAAAAGAGGAAGCAAATGTCTGGGCAACAAGGGTGGAAGACTTTATTTATTAATAGGCTCATGTCTTTTGATTCTGAAACTACATGTAGATAGTACCCACGTCAATATATTTTAGGAGAAAGGCTTTTTTTCAAATTTAAAAAGTCAAATACCTGATGATAGCCATGCCATTCCGGATCTCAGCTCCCAGGACCGCATCTACTAGTCTAAGGACAGAGCCTGAGGCCAGACAGGCACAAATAAAAGAGTTCTGGAAAAGTGGGAAGCCAAAGAAGATGTGAAAGATCTGTTTTATCTGCTCTGTTTCTTCCCCAGGGCATAGGGATGGAGGGACCCCAGGATTGCTGCCACTCCCAAACCCCATGGTTCTTATCCATACCGGATGTAGATAAACTGAATCATAGGTGTTTGCCAGTATGCGAAGTTCTCCCTCATTCATGTACTGGGTTGTCTCCATGAGGTCAATGTACTCTGGGCTGGGAACACAGATGGGTCATGAGATTCAGGGTCCTATACCCTCCCTAACTAAGCTTACCACACACCAATCAAATCAGGCTTTCCCCAGATTCAACCTGGAAAAACAGCTCTGGGTTCATGCATACTAGACAAGCACTCTACCACTAAGCCATATTCCCAGCCTCTCCCGCCCCCCCCACCCCCGCCCACTCTCTCTCTCTCGACGCCCATACCCACATCTATTCAGTTATTTGGAGATGTTTGGTTTCTGTTTTTTTTTTTTTTTTGGGTCCGGTCGTGGGGCCTGAACTCTGGGCCTGGGCACTGTCCCTCAGCTCTTCAGCTCAAGGCTAGTGCTCTACCACTTGATCTATAGCGCCACTTCCGGCTTTTTTTTTATCTAATGTGGTGCTGGGGAATCGAACCCAGGGCCTCATGCATGCAAGGCAAGTGCTCTACCAATGAGCCATCTTCCCAGCCCTGTTTTATTTGTTTTGTTTTTTTGGTTGGTCGTGGGGCTTGAACTCTGGGCTTTGGCGCTGTCCTTGCATTCTTCAGCTCAAGGTGAGCACTCTACACTTGAGCCACAGCGGCACTTCTGGTTTATTAGAGATAAGAGTCTCACGGATTTTCCTGCCTGGGCTGGCTTTGAACCTCAATCCTCAGATCTCAGCCTCCTGAGTAGCTAGGATTACACCCGCACCCGGTTTTGGTTTGTGTGTTTTTTTTAAATTGTTACTTACTTTATTGTTATTATAAAGGTAATGTACAGAGGGATTAAAATTTCCTTCTGTAGTGTCTTCCCTTCCCTTACTCTCTCCCACTTCCTTCCTCTGATCTCCATCCATGAGTTGTATAGTCCACTTTCATCAGTGTCAAGCCCTTCTCTTTACTAGACTCTTCTTTTTCCTCTCAAAGCTCAACTTAGTTGGGTGTCAGTGGCTGATACCTATAATCCTCACAAGGCTGAGATGTGAGGATCACAGTTCAAAGCCAGACCATGCAGGAAAGTTTATAGGAATTTTATCTCCAATTGATAATTAAAAAAATAAAGCTAGAAGTGCTGGGCGCCACTGGCTTGCGCCTGTAATCCTAGCTACTCAAGAGAGGCTGAGATCTGAGGATTGTGGTTCAAAGCCAGCCCAGGGAGGAAAGTGGGTGAGACTCTTATTTTCAGTTAACTACCAGAAAACCGGAAGTGGCACTGTGGAACAAGTGGTAGAGTGCTTGCCTTGAGCTGAAGAGTGCACGGCCAGCGCCCAGACCAAGTTCAAGCCCCATGACTGGGGGGAAAAAAAAAGAGCTCAGGGACTGAGCCCAGGTCCTGAGTTCAAATCCTACAACTGACAAAAAAAAGCTAGAGTGTAACTTTGGCTTAAGTGGTAGAAAGCTAGCCTTGAGCAAAAGAGCAGCCAGGCACTGGTGGCTTAGACTTGTAATCCTAACTACTCAGGAGGCTGAGATCTGAGGACCACAGTTTGAAGCCAGCCTGGGCAGGAAAGTCTGTGAGACTTTCATCTCCAATAAATTACTCAGAAAAAGCCAGAAGTAGCATTGTAGCTCAAGTGGTAGAGTGACAGCCTTGAGAAAAAGAATCTCAGGAACACTACCCAGGCCCTCAGGAACAATGCCCAGACCCTGAGTTCAAGTTTCAGGATCAGCACTAAATAACTAACAAAATAAATAAATAAATAGCTCAGCTTTATCACTCTCCACTATCAAGCTAGCTTTTCCTGAGCCATACTGCACCAAACCTCCTACTGAGTTCCCGCAGTTCCCTGGGGGTACCCTTCCATCACTGTGCACACATTCAGCACCTGTTTATACAACCAGATTATAATAAAAGCATATCATCATGGGCTAACATTCTAAGCACATGTTATATATCGAGCCCTCCTGAGGAACTTCAGTTTCCTAAAAATGGCAGTCTCAGAGAGGCTCAGCTACTTGCCCAAGTCCATGAAATTCCTGACCAAATCATTCAGCCTGTTCTTATTGGTCCAGAACAACCTCTTCCCCGCCCTACCGGGTTCCTAAGCCTTCACCTGTGAACCAACATGAGCTCTTCCTTTTCTGCGACCCGGGCCTGAGGAGACATGAGAAATAAAGAGCTTAAAGTAGGCTGCACCTAAAGTAGGTCCTGCCAGATCCCTGCTTTCCATCTAGTGTTGGCTATGGAACTCACCGGAAAGCATACACAACGATCCACAAGGCCTTCCTGGATAAGCTGTTCCTTAATGGCATGGAGTCTTTCAGGGTTTTCAGGGTAGCTGGAGAGATGGGAGACAACATTAGAAACACAGATACCATTATTTTTCTTATTTTTCAGCTGGTACTTGAACTCAGGCTTCACATTATTACATGGCTTTTTCACTCATCAAAACCCTTTGATGAGGGGCTGGGAAGGTGGCTCAATGGTAGAGTGCTTGCCTTGCATGCCTGAGGCCCTGGGTTCCATTCCTCAGCACCACATAAGCAAAAAACAGAAAAAAGCCGGAAGTGGCGCTGTGGCTCAAGTGGTAGAGCGCTAGCCTTGAGCTGAAGAGCTGAGGGACAGCGCCCAGGCCCAGAGTTCAGGCCCCACGACTGGACCAAAAAAAAAAGAAAAGAAAAAAAAAAAAACCCTTTGATGAGTTGGTGACTCACACCTGTAATCCTAGTTACTCAGGAGGCTGAGCTCTGAGGATCATGGTTCAAAGCTAGCCCAGGCAGGAAAGGCCTTGAGACTCTTTTTTTTTTTTGGTCCGGTCGTTGGGCCTGAACTCTGGGCCTGGGCGCTGTCCCTCAGCTCTTCAGCTCAAGGCTAGCGCTCTACCACTTGAGCCACAGCGCCACTTCCGGCTTTTTTCTTATGTGGTGCTGAGGAATCCAACCCAGGGCCTCGAGCATGCAAAGCAAGTGCTCTACCATTGAGCCACCTTCCCAGCCCCAGGAGCTGAGACTCTTATCTCCAATAAACTACCAATATGCTGGAAATGGAGCTAGGCTCAAGTGGTAGAACATTAGCCTTGAGTACCAATAGCTCAGGGACAGCACCCAGGCCCTGAGTTCAAGCCCTAGGACTGGCACACAAACAAACAAATCCCTTTGATAGCTACCATCCACTTCCCTTTGGAAGCTGACATCTTCCTTATATATATAACCCAGAAGGCACTAAACAATGTGCACACCAACTTTCTGACCCCTCATTCTCTTTGTTTCATCTGCACTGGTCTCCCTTGTCCTCAATTGAAACACATACACTTCAGCTAGCTCCAAAGATTTCATTCTAGCCATTTTCCTGCCTAGAATCCTTCTCCCAGATGACACTATAGCTCACTCCCTTATCTCCTTCAGACCCAAGCTCAAATGCCAGCTAGGCTTTCACCCGCTTGTATTACAAATGGAAACACCCTTCCAACGTTTTTTTTTTGCTGATACTGGGGCTTGAACCCTGGGCCTGGGTACTGTCCCTGAGCAGCTCAGTTCAAGGCTGGCCTTCTACCACTTGAGCCATAGTGCCACTTCCAGCTCTTTCTGTGATTAATTGAGATAAGAGTCTCACAGACTTTCCTGCCTCAGCTGGCTTCAAATAGTGATCCTTAGATCTCAGCTCCTGACTACCTAGGATCACAGGCCTGAACCACCGTCTGGTTTCCATCCAACTTTCCATTACCCTCTCACACACCTTAGTCCTTTCCCACAGCACTGCTATCTCTAATACACTATATCATTTACTTGTTTGCTTACTTCTGTCTTCTCCTTTCCCTGAAGGCATGGGTTTCCTTTTTGTTTTGAAAGTCTTATAAAAGATTTATTATAACAGGGTTAAAGTGTGGACAAACAGAAAAAGCAAAACATTTTGTGTTCCCTATGAAGGAAATAGGACTCCATTTATCTCAGAAGTGGAGATGGAGCTCAAGTGGTATAACAGCAGCCTTGAGAGAAAGCTACGGAGAGTTCCCTGACTCTGAGTTCAAGTCCCAGTATGAAAATAACAACAAAAACAAAAATGACTACAGGGCTGGGGATGTGGCTCAGTGGTAGAATGCTTGCCTAGCATGCATGAAGCCCTGGGTTCGACTCCTTATTACCATATACACAAAAAAGTTAGAAGTGGCGCTGTGACTCGAGTGGTAGAGTGCCCAGGTCAGGCCTTGAGTTCAAGCCCCAGGACTGGCAAAAAAAGAGAAAAAAACAGCTCCAGGTAGGGCACCAGTGGCTCATATCTGGAATCCTAGCTACTCAGGAGGCTGAGATCTGAGGATGACAGTTCGAAGACAGTTCGAAGCCAGTCCAGGCAGGGAAGTCCATGAGACTCCTATCTCCAATTAACCACCAAAAAGTTGGAAGTGGAGTTGAGGCTCAAGTGGTAGCCTTGAAGGAAAAAAAGCTCACAAACACTACCACAGGTCCTGAGTTCAAGCTCCACGACCAGCACACACACAAAAAGACTCCGTCATTATTCTCAAGGCTTAAAAAAAACCAAAACAGTACTGGGGTTTGAATTCAGTGTGCTAGGTTTGCTAGGCGGGCATACTACTACTTAAACCAAGCCTCTAGCTCTCTATTTTTGTTTACTCTCATACACTCCTCATATGTACTCCACAAATGAGATTTTTGTGCTTATGAGTTGGCCTAAGATCAGGTTAAGGGAGGTAGCTTTTAAATGAGTAAATGCATGAATATAATGATTAACAAACAATGGCAAAGGCTAGGAAAACAGCTCAGATCAGGCAAACTGACTGTGAGAGTCTGGCTCTGAGAGAAGCACTGAGTTGTAAAAGGGATCAGTCATGATTTGAAGCAAGAAGTGTTTGGCAAAGCTGGAAGAACAGCACTATAGGTAAAACAAAGTGAAGCGCATGGGGATGGTGGCAGCTGATGAAGTCACTAAGGTGATATAGAGCCAGATCCCATGGAATCTTAGAGGTCAGGATGTAGAATTGAGATTTGACCTTGAAAGAAATGGTCTACCCTTTCTGTTAGAAAGCATTCTTGCTGGAGGACTGTCTAAGTCTGTAATTTTGTAGTTTGGAGGATCCAGCCTCACCTGTCATCCCAGAGGCAATGAAAATCATTTAGCTGTTCATCAAACACCAAGCCAGTACCAATCATTACCTTCACTTCAGGGTTAAGATCCTGCAGAGGGGGGAAAAAAGATATATCCATTCAGGGGCTGAATTAGAGGAAACATTTCACACTACTCATAGAAACAGGGTTTTGTTAGTTACAGAATGCCACATCGCGCCAGGCCCCTCTCACCAGCCCTTGCAGCCCCATGACTAGGTCTTCTTCAACTGGTTGGCTAAGCTTCTTCATCTTTCCTTTCTTCTTTATCTCCGATAGATTGGGAGTACAGCGGGGCACAGCACCCTTCTTAACAGTTCTCTTCTGCCAATCAGGGAGAAGGATCAGAGTGCAAGACTTGGTTAGCTTGCTTTCCCTCCCCATCAGGGTAATAATAAACATCTCGGGCCTCACCGTGATGGCGTTCACATCGTGAGAAGGCGATTGGGGATTCTGCCTACCCTTCCGCTGCCTGGAGGCTGTGGAATCCTGGCAGGTGGAAGTCATAGCTGGGGAGATTCGGGCCCTGACGCGACTCTGGCGGGATAGTGGTTTTGAGGGGGTTAGGGGGTCCGAAGGGGCCCCAGGAACCCAATCCGCAGTGCCTCTAAATCCCGCCCCTTCAGGGCCTCTCGAGCCACTGAGGTGCCCATCCCACCTGGTCCCGCCTGTTCCACTAGACCACGCCCCCTTTACATGATTTCCCCCCCCCCCCCCCCTCCTTCTTTCACGTCTCGCCTTTTCCTGGGAGCAATTAACCTCAGATTCAATCCGGACATTTTAGGACCTGCTCTTTCCAGCAACTCACCGTCCCTTTCACTCGATCAAGCCTCACTCATTTCTTACACCCCTTCCTGTATCCTTTCACAAACCTGCCCTTTCCGGCCTATCGCCCCGTTACAAACACCCACGCTTTCACTCAGCCAGACCCATCCGCGCTCACACACTAACGACTCACTTAGCCCCACCCCTTTATCCCGCCGGATCAGTACTTTCCACTCTTTCAAATTCTGCTCCTAGCCTTTCAACAAGCCCATATTCACGGGGGCCTGCCCCCTTCCTTCCATAAGACCCCACCCCACGGCTTAAATCAGTCCTCTAAAGTCTCGCCAATTCTCTCCAGCCAGTCCCAAACCGCCGTCTTCCAGGCTCCTCCCATCTTCCCCGCCAAGCAGTCGATAGCAACCAATCCTTTCGGTTTACTCACAGCGCGCAATCCCCTTCGCCGTGTCTGATTCGTGACGCCAACCTCCCTGCGACTCAGGGAGCCCCGGGTGACACATATCTTTCTTTCCATTGGATCCAGTAGCTGTTACAGCCCGCCCCGGTCCAGCCCACAAAAGGAAGCGCGCCGAATGGCTGCGCCCCTCTCGCAGGCCACACCTGTCGCGAACTCACGGGGGGGGGGGGAAACAACGGACAATGCTCCCAACAGTGACGTGACATACTGTGATTGCGCCATCATCTGGAGACCTAGTTTCGGCCATATTTGCCCCTCCCTCTAGTCGCCACCGCTCCAGGCTTTGGTTGCCAGGAGCGGCCGGTATTCCTCTATCATTTTCTGGTAACATCAGGAACCCTCTGGGTCGCGCTATCTTTCGATGCGGTGATCTGAAAGCAAGCAAGGAAGTTAGAAAGGGACACCTTTCCTTCCGGGAGTTTTCCCGCGCGGCGCGTGATTATGACTTAGCGTGAGCGGGCTGGTCTCTTGGCTGAGAGCCAAAATAGCCATGATGCTACTTATAAATGCTAAGTTACTATTTACTAGGAAGGGCACATAAAACGCACGCAGGCAATAGTAACTATTGACATTGTTGTGACATGGAAAGGAGTGTCAAGTATTTTGTGTCAGGCATTGTAGAAAGCCACGGTTCTGAGATAGTTCCCGTTATTCAAGTTGCATTGCAGATAAGGCAACTGAGTTGCCATGAGACCGTGGGCAAGTCACTGAGAAGGTCTGTGCTCCGTTTTCTCATCTGGAAAATTATGATGCTAGTGCGCGGGGCCAGAATGAGCACGAGAGAGGAGTTTCTCATTGGTGACAGCTCTCTACCTTCCTCCACGGGGAACTTGTTTTCAAGCTGTAGTAAGAAGTGTGCACACACCAATGGGGGAACTAGAGGATTGTCTTTATGCCCTCACCCTCCCAGGACTCAATACTCGGGTGGAGTGTCTAAATATCCGCGACAAAGGAGGCCGGTTTGTCCTCCTAATCTCCCTCTGTCATTCTCCACCATTTCCTAGCGGGTTGAAGTCTGGGACCACAGAGATAAGCGGTCTGGGGTTCAGCATCGCTGACTAATAAACAGATTGACAGCCCCACTGCCCAGTTTTCAGGCTCTCTGACCCTCTTCAAACAACCAGCTGCAGCCTCCTCTTCCACACTTTTCCTACCTGAGCAGAACTTCACCCATAATGCATGAGAGTCACTGACCTAAGACGTTTGAGTCTATATACACCAAAGAAAACATGATAACACACCTACAGAAACGTTCTTGGGCTGTGATAACTGCAAATAACATACTAAGGGTCATGTAAAGGGCCAAAGCTCATTTTCCTATACAGTAGGAACAGAAGTTCTTGTACAACAGAAGTCAGCAAACTATATATACAGCAAGATAGTAAATAGTTTGTGCTTTGCAAGACACATATACTTTCTTTTCTTTTTTCTTTCTTTCTTTTTTTTTTTTTTTTGGCCAGTCATGGGGCCTGAACTCTGGGCCTGGGCGCTGTCCCTCAGCTCTTTAGCTCAAAGCTAGTGCTCTATTACTCCAGCCATAGCGCCACTTCTGGGTTTTTCTGCTAATGTGGTGCTGAAGAATCGAACCCAGGGCCTCATGCCTGCAAGGCAAGCATTCTACCACTGAGCCACCTTGCCAGCCTGCCACATATACTTTCTATGAAATATTCTTTTTTCTTGTGTGTGCTAGTCCAATCCTGGGGCTTGAACTCCAGGCCTGAGCACTGAGCTGTAGTTGTTGGTATTTTGTTTTTTTTTCTGAAGCCTAACTCTCTACCATTTGAGTCAAAGCTCTATTTTTGCATTTGTGTGTGTGTGTGGTGGTTAATTGGACATAAGAGTCTCATAGAGGGGCTGGGAAGGTGGCTCAGTGGTAGAGTGCTTGCCTTGCATGCCTGAGACCCTGGGTTCGATTCCTCAGCACCACATAAGCAAAAAGAAAAAAGCTGGGAGTGGCGCTGTGGCTCAAGTGGTAGAACGCTAGCCTTGAGCTGAAGAGCTGAGGGACAGTGCCCAGGCCCAGAGTTCAGGCCCCACGACCGGACCCCCCCCCCAAAAAAAAATAAAAAGAGTCTCATAGACTTTTCTGCCTGGGCTGGCTTTGAACTACATCATCAGATTTTAGCTTCTTCCAAATTCTCTTTTTTATCCCTCAACATAAGGATGTGCTGCATTGCCCTAGCTTGCCTTGAATTTCTTTTTTTTTTTTTTTTTGCCAGTCCTGGAGCTTGGACTCAGGGCCTAGGCAATGTCCTGAGCTTCTCTTGCTCAAGGCTAGCATTCTACCACTTGAGCCACAGTGCCATTTCTGTGTTTTTCTGTTTATGTGGTACTGAGGAATTAAACCCAGGGCTTCATGCATGCTAGGCAAGCACTGTACCACTAATGTCACATTCTCAGACCTGGCCTTGAACTTCTAAGACTCAAATGATCCTCTGGCATCAGAATCAAAACTAGATGGAGAGGCTGGGAAGGTGGCACAGTGATAGAGTGCTTGCCTCACATGCATGGGGCCCTGGGTTCGATTCCTCAGCACCATATAAGCAGAAAAAGCTGGAAGTGGGGCTGTGGTTCAAGTGGTAGAGCGCTAGCCTTGAGCTGAAGAGCTGAAGGACAGTGCCCACTCCCAGAGTTCAGGCCCCATGACTGACAAGAAAAAAGTAGATGGAAAGGGGCTGAGAATGTGGCTTAGTGGTAGAGTGTTTGCCTAGCATGCATGAAGCCCTGGGTTCAATTCCTTAGTACCACATAGACAGAAAAATCCGGAAGTGTGAGCACTGTGGCTTAAGTAGAGCACTAGCCTTGAGCACAGAGAGGCTCAAGGACAGAGCTCAGGCGCTGAGTTCAAGCCCCAGGACTGGCAAAAAAAAAAAGTAGATGGAAAGCTGGGTACTGGTGGCTCATGCCTGCAATCCTAGCTACTCGGGAGGCTGAGATCTGAGGTTTGCAGTTCAAGGCCAGGCTGGAAGAACAAAGGCTGTGAGACTCCACCAAAAGCCAGAAGTGGAATTGTGCCTCAAAGTGATAGAGCACTAGCCTTGAATACTAAATCTCAGAGATAGGGCCCAGATTCTGAGTTCAACTCTCAGGACCAGCACACATACACACAAAAAGTAGATGAAACTGTAATGTGTGCCATTATGCCCAGTTGATTGGGGGTGGGGTGGTACTAGAGTTTGAATTTAGAGCCTTGCACTATTAAGTGCTCCAGCACTGAAATCTGGACCTGGGTACTGTCCCTCAGCTCTTCAGCTCAAGGCTAGTGCTCTACAACTTGAGCAACAGTGCCACTTTGGGCTTTTTTTTTCCTGCTTATGTGGTGCTGAGGAATCGAACCAGGGCCTCATGCATGCAAGGCAAACGCTCTACCACTGAGCCACCTTCCCAGGCCCGAGGATAAAGGTTCTACTTTTCCTTGAAGAAGAAACATTTGTGGATATGTGAATAGACAGGAACAGGTCACTTCTGCTGTTTCTCTACTGTGTCAAACAAATGTTCCTAGACTGAATGAGGAATGGTGTTACTGTATTGAATCAAGCAGAAGTTCCTGTAAAAGAGAAGCTTATTGTTTCTAGAGAGCTCTAGACTGTGTGTTCCTGTGCAAGTTCAGAATGGGGCTTCTTAGACTGCATTATGATAGCTTCCTATAAGAGCTTAGATGGTCCATTACTAGATCAGCTCAGATGTTTTTGAACAGGTATTAGAGCATAGTCTGCACAGAAACATTAAGATCAGGGCTGGGAAGGTGGCTCAGTGGTAGAGCGCTTGCCTTGCATGCCTGAGGCCCTGGGTTCGATTCCCCAGCACCACATAAGAAAAAAAGTCGGGGGAAGGATTGGGTGGGAGGGAAGGGGGGAGGCTGGGAAGGGAGGTGAAGGGTAAACAAAGGAGGAGGCTGCAATGCTTGGTAAGAAATGTATGCATTATCCTGCCCATGTAATTGTAACCCCTCTGTACAGTATGTTCACAAATAAAATAAAATTAAAAAAAAAAAAGAAAGAAAGAAAAAAAGCCGGAAGTGGCGCTATGGCTCAAGTGGTAGAGTGCTAGCCTTGAGCTGAAGAGCTGAGGGACAGCGCCCAGGCCCAGAGTTCAGGCCCCACGACTGGCCCCCCCCCCCCCAAAAAAAAAAAGAATGCTTGAAGCCTTGGGCTGAGACTGTGGCTTAGTGGTAGAGTGCTTGCCTGAGTTCTATTCCTCAGTACCACATAAACAGAAAAAGCCAGAAATGGTGCTGTGGCTCAAGTGGTAGAGTGCTAGCCTTGAGCAAAAGCTCAGGGACAGTGCCCAGGCCCTGAGTTTACGCCCCATGATGGGCAAAAAAAGAAAAAGAATGCTTGAAACCCTAAGTTCTATTCAGCATAAAAACAACTATAAATATGTCCTCTCCTTGCCCGCGCCCCCCCCCACCCCCCTCAACCTCCCCCCTTCCAGGGCCTGGATCCTGTCCCTGGGCCTCTTTGTGCTCAAGGCTAGTGCTCTACCACTTGAGCCACAGTGCTACTTCCATTTTTTTTGAGTTGTTTATTAGAGATAAAAGTCTTATGGGTACTTTTCTGCCCTGGCTGGCTTCAAACCATGATCCTCAGATCACAGCCTCCTGAGTAGCTAGGATTACAGGACTGAGTCACCAGCACCTGGTGACATGTCCATTTTTATACTGATGACATATTGAGGTGATAATATTTGGGGGTATTGAATAAATATATATTGTTATTAAAATTAATCTCTGTGTGTGTGTGTGTATGTGTGTGTGTGTCCTGTGGCTTCAACTCAGGGCCTAGGCACTTTCCTTTAGCTTTTTCACTCAAAATTAGTACTCTATCACTTGAGCCACAGCTCCTCTTCCAGTTTTCTGTTGTTTAATTGGAAATAAAAGTCTCACAGACTTT